TTTGAGTTTCTACTTATCAGGATATTTATGATGTAATTTTTTTTTTAATCCGTTGTATCGTGAAGTTACATATAATGTGAATGAGAAGATCCTTCAACAGAAATTTGCACATTGACTTGTCCTAGGGGATGTTTACCAACATTTCCAATTATTTCTCATAGGAGGGAAAACAATCCAGTACTTCTTTATTCAGTCAAAGCTTTACTCGTAGGGGTCTGAAAGGCATGTTGTGTCTTGGAATTCATACATTGTAGATAATAAAGTTAGACTTTTTGAGCTTTTATTTTTCATGTCGCTTTGTAATTATAAGAATTATTATTTGAGCAATTGAGGTTTTTCTCATTGTTGTTCCTTTCTAATCCTAACCACCTCACGAAAAGATTCCCCATATCTAGCCATCACTAATTTTTCCCTTCAGTGACCTACCAGCCATCAGAAAGTGATAATATGTCCTAAAAAAGTCAAATTTAGCAGGGAAAATATTGAAGTATTTACTGAGACACATTTTTCAGACCAGTCTCATAGGGTTGTGCACAGGGTGACAAGTGATGGCCAGACATGGGAATTTTTTCCACCTCATTTTTTTTGACAAAACAAAAGCACACATTGTTGGTACCGGTACTTTGCACAGTGCTTCATATCCCAATTATGTAAAAGTACCCAAAATTGTAGCATTTGTTCACATTGTAGCATTTGTTCACTCCATTTGTTCACTCAGTAGAGTTGGATTTTAGCAAGAGACTTGCCGTCCTAATTTGCATCTTATTTTCCATACATCCTTGTCTTGTTTTCTGGCCTGCCAGGCACCTGATGGTTTGGCAAGGGTAAGTCACTGTGAAATGGACCTTGGGGTGGCCTCCAGGCTATGATGAGAGATAATTAGGCCTGAGGCCACGAGGCCGGCAGCCATCGCTGGCATTGCAAGAGCCTGACAAGGCCTCGGGAAGTCTTAAGCAGCAATTGATACAGAAGAGCCTTATGCCCAATGCCACAACTACTCGCACAACTACATCCTCTGTGACAAAATTTGTAAAAAATTGAAACAAGTACTGTAAGCAATAGACACTTCTATCATGTACTGGCATTCGCGTACATTTCTCACAGGCAAAGATATTAAGGGGTTGTTCTTATTTGGCATGCACTTTGCATGATTTACAAGCATTAATCAGCAGTTATTAGACATGTAGGTGACACAATGGAACCCGTTTAAGTCCTAAACATAGTCCATAGAACCTTTTTACCGGTATATCCAACCCTGCCAAGAAATGCTCCAAGCCTGCATATGAAATTGAGTTTTGAGTGTTGAGCGTCAGTAGTATAAGTCATGAGAGTTGAGTAGTTTGTCTTTGAGTTCTGGGTCTTGAGTTCTTGAGTCATATTGCAAAGAAAACTGGGCTTTACTGTACAGTGGCTTGAGTGAGTCTGAACCAAGGCTTTAAGCCGGCCTCAGGTCGACCTTGCGACGACACAGATCAGTCGGCGACTGACTTTTTCAGATCAAGCTGCGTCTGAGCTACGACCATCGGGAACAACTCAGTCGCCAATTGTGTGCAACCTGAGTGTAACTGCGACGATATTAAACAATCGGCATCAGTTGGCACTAAAAAAAATCAACAGTCGCAAGAGTAAAAAAATTTCAACTTCTGCGACGTGCTCCGCGACAATCACACGATTTCTCCGTTTTGTGACCTAAGCATAATTTTTGTGCTTGATACCAACGGTTCCATCTTGGCGCAAGCAAATCGTGGGTGGACCTGAGGCTAGCCGGAAACAAAGGGCAACAATAGGGACAATTTTACCCCGCAAGTCTGTCTTTAGAAGTTGAAGTACCCCATAGCCCTAATGCTGTGTGTTTTGCGATTTCTAAGGGGACAAAGGAGAACAAAAGAAGGGGATTAGCGTCGAACAATAGTGGTACCCCATAAACCCCAAATGCTACGTTTATCTTTTCAAACCGTGGACGAAAAATACCAGAGAACAAAAGAGAACAATATCGTCCACGATTCCCAGCATACGTCCGCGATTGGGGTCGTGTACAAAACCTATGGGAGTCTTCCTAAAAAGTTAGAGTACAAACAAAAGAGGGACAAAAGGACGTCCATGATTGATGGTGAACACACGTTTGTGTGCACGTGGTTGCTTTAATTCGTCAATTCTGTGTGTGACATCACGTTATAGCTGCAATCAGAGGGACAATAGGACGTCCACGATCGACGGTGAACACACGTTTGCGTGTGTGTGTGTTCCATTTTGGTTAGGTTAACTGTTTAGTGCTGTCATGAAAAGTCAGACTTCACTCTCAACCAAACTTGGTGACAATAATCTTTGGGTAGGGAGACTTCAGATGACTTCAGACATTTCATTTCATTTCATTCATTTTCATTTATTAATTTCACAGGTAAAAATTCAGTACAGATACTAAGAACAGTAAAGAAAACAAAAACATGCACATACAGTTAGGAGAGAGAACAAGAAAAAGAGAAAAAAAAAGTAGCATGGATTTTAAAAAAGTAAAATAAATTACTATCGAGTTAATCTCCTGATGCCACAATTTAAGAAGAGACAATACAAAAGGACATTACAAATGGACATTATTAAAACATGGCTTACAGTATAAGAATATAGAACTATACAAGCAGTTAAAACTTTAAAAGCACAAATGAGCATTAAAAAATACAGATTGGGTAAAAGAGAGATTCGAGTGAATTATAATGCAAAAGGCACTATAAAATTGAGAAAAAAAAACAAGCAGCAAGGTATTTGAATGGGCAGGGCATTAGGGGTCAAATGAGGTCATTGTTGCTTTGGTTTAGGTACACTGAAACTAACTGACTGTACAAATATTGCCAGCATGCCAGAGGGAGCGCGCAAGTTTTACTTGCAGAATTTTTTTTTACATGCTTACTACTATACTAGTCCAAGCAACATATTTTAAATTAGTCACAGACCTTTGTGTTGGATAATGTACAATTTTCATAATCGGAATTTTGAATACTGATCATGGAATTTGTATTCATTAAAATATTTTGGTGCTTACGAAAAAAAAAGCAGGTGGGTTCATTTGTATGTCATGGCAAAATATCAGGGGTCTCTGGACTTTGTAGCATAAACCATGTACATGTAGCTTGTTTAGCTATACCTTGATAATTTTCTTCCTTTTGCATTATGCATTTAATTTATTGTTGACCATATGTTGCCGGTCGCCCTTGGACGTTGACGTTGAAGTTAATGGGCCAGTCTTTTCCATTTGCGTTTTAAATACAAGGATATATGGATATGTACATATGCAGATGCCCTTGAAAAAACATAAGTTCAGTTGGACATGCACGACCGCCCATTGATTGCCTCCTAATCTTTCTAATTATGGTATTGATATTTTGCAAAGTTCCAGCTTGTATGCTCAAATTTAGGGTGCTGCAAAGCATTGGATTTTTTTTGTCAGCCCGATTGTCATCCATTCAATGGTGGTACATTCACATGTAAGCAATAAGCCTATAGAAATTATGTACATCTACATGTTTGTACATGTACATGTACACATGTATGTATGTACATGTACATTACCCTTTAAATACAAGTTAAATTCTTGAACGATACTGAACTGTAGCAATCTCTATGCATGTGCGTGTTCTCTTGTTTTACTATACCCTCGAGGACAATGCTTTGAGTTTCCCTTTGTCCCTGTAATATAACACTCTCCCATAGACTAAGCACACAAACTTACTACAGAGGACCGTTTTGAACAAAAGACCCAACTCCCGAGGACTGAAAGGATCTGTTGTTCTCCCTTTGTGTGTCGGGGGCATGCACAGCTTGCAGGAATTACCGGTAGGTGACCAATTTGCCTCCGAAAATAGAGCGAAAATATAGAAGTAAAAACTTTCTTGTTTTTAACTCAGATGTGACAGTGATGTACTGCAATTTGGAATTGCCATGGTCTTTATCATTTCTTGCACTCCACTAGCTCATAGAATCATTTTCCTGAACCCATCCCTCCTCTCTGAATCCTTCAAAAACATGACAAAGGTTTGGAGAATTTTGTATGATTCAAAAAGATGTGTATACAGTTTACAAATGTTGATAGATAGAGCCCAGCTACTATTAATTTATATGGGACTTGATGCTCATATAGACTTGCATCTTTCAAGTACAAACAAAACTGCCATTGGGTAATAGCTGTCCAGTGATGGGTTTTGGAGGATTCAGGATTGTTTTCAGCAAAAAAGCTGAGGAGGGTCTAAGAACCAAACTTTGCCCCAGAGCCTCCCTTGCAACTTTCCCAACACTCCCAGTCAGAGGTCACCCTTTCCATTGTTTTAGTCATGCCCTCCTCAATCCACAACAAGGCCACCTGCACTATACCCCCTAATTCCCAGAATTACATTTGCCCTTCCACAAAGCCCTCTTCTGAAACAAACAAACACCACACCGTCATTTACTTCTTCACTTCTCTGTCCCTCTGTGGTGACCTCCGTGGTTCTGTCACATGACATTGGCCTGTCATGTCAGCATGGACATTCTAAGTACGGCTGTGCCATAAACGTGCGTCTATGGCAGTGGCTGCAGCCACTCCCAAAGACACGTGTGCTACTTAGCCATAGCCAAGAACAGACCAAGCCTTACGAGCTACAGACTAATCTTGTAGCAGACTCATCTTGTAGTGGATTATTCCTGGGTGCCTTTAGGGGCTGTTTTGCAGGCCCATCGCCGTCAATTACGTGCACCCAAGGTCGATATTAAATGATTAACCAGGTTTTCTTAAAGGCCTCCCTATCTTTAGAATTTAATCCTCCAGGGCATTAGAAAAGTGCTACCTTAATTCACTCCGTTTTCCTGGACATTTGTGGATCAATGTTGTTATTAAGAAGACTTTATCCTCTCCAATCGACCTTCCTCAAACTGTTCATCTGGTTTCCTTGAGGATGTTTTGAAGTTTGTAAGTCGGGCCTCTTGGTTTATAGATGTTTTTTAACCTGTCTGTCTTTGTTTTTTTCTTTCAGGATGTGAAAAGTGAGATGGACAGAATTTCCCGCACCAACATAGTAGTGTGTACCCCCGGTAGGTTTCTGCAGCACCTGGACCAGACGGTCAGCTTGGACTGTTCCAACTTACAGATGCTGGGTGAGTGGGTCTGAGTGCTCATCGATACGGCACCAGATCGATATCTTCTCATATTATCCTCAAACTGACTGATGTAGATCGACCTGGGCTATATTTCGCTCGTACCCCCCGCCCTGCAAACAGGACGCTGGGATACTCTGATGAATTCACGCTCTGATTGGTTGGATTTTGCATGACCTGTGACCTGCGCGTCATCACGGTCATGACTCTGCAAGGTTTTGAAACGGCCGTTTGTTGATAAAAGCGTAATAATGTAGGAAATTCTGTAAAACTTATCTGTGTTGTAAATTTACAATTCCCATCACTTGCTCAGGCTCCGTTTCGAATCACAAACGGTCGGATTGCATTATGCGATGCTCAAAATTTTGTCCACATGGTCCGCAATGAAACAGAAATCACATCCGGTATGGAATGCGCGCATTTCTATGGGAAGTTTTTGGATAGCATTTGCGCACATTGTCTAACTGCGGTCTTGAACAGCTGCAGCCAGATGCTTTATACATAGGTCAAAGGCCACTTCCTTCACAAGATTCTGTGAAGCTTATTAGAGTATCCCTGCACCCTGTTTGCAGGGTGGGAGGTACGAGCGAAGGGCTATATTCTGCCCTGTGCATGAAGCGCCCTCTTGTGGTGAGAAGACAACCATTTGTGACCAGAAAGGGGACAGTTAGACAGTATCACAAAGATGAGCCTCTGCATGTACGTACAGCAACGGGGAGAGAGACCTTTGCTACAAAGAAGTGAATAACCTTTTTTTTTTTAGGGTTTCCAAAATGATCTGATTGTCAAGAAAAATCGATCATTAAATTTAAATAAAGGTCTGCTAATATGTGCAGTTCTTTTGTGAATATTCCAAAATGGTAGACCTGTACTACATGTACCGGTAGGGATCAATAGTTTCTGTTTCCCAAAAAAGTCTCTACACATCAAACGTTGCTTCAGTTTTGGATGCAAAGATAGAACAGTTTTGAGTCCGTCCAGCGAAACTTAGTGAACTTTAATAATTGAAATGCCGGGCCCGGGTTCAGGGAAGCTCTACATGCAATTAGTAAGTCACGATTGCGTGACAAAAGGACTCGAAGGCAGCCATAAGACAAGATTGTCGTAGTTTAGGTTTCTTTCTAATCACAGATACAAATATAGAGTTGTTTCAAGGGTGCTTGATTTAGAAAAAAATAATGACATTTTGTGTCCTTAATTTGCTGCTCTGGGTTCGAAGTACGTCTTGTAATTTAAGATGAAGACCGAGTTGATAACCTGTAATTGAGGTTTTTGGGTAGATAAAAGGGCAAGGATGACTTTTGCAAAATGGAATATTGTAAAGACTTTTTTGGGAGATTCTCTGGTTGATTTTTTTTAAAGAAAAATGGACAAGAAAGATGTCCTTATTTGGCATATTACTGTTACATACTCCCCATTATAGTGTCCAATTAAAATTGCTAAATCTGCTTATTCATAATAACCTTTTTTGCATAGCCACATCAGAGTTATGCTAAATCACCAATACCACACTATAGAGGGTGCCATTGAGTATTCTCAGTCAGGAAAAAAAAAATGACATCTGCCTGTGCGTACATGTAAAGGCGGCCCTACTCCAACACATTAGAAGAGCTATCTGATGTGGATTTTATTATATGAAAAGCGGTCAAAATTGTCCATGGTGGGCATATTGAGTACCCCCCCCCCATTTTGAAAATGGATGCCACGCCTCTAAAAGGGTAGGTTTGTGATGGCTGTACATTAAAAAAAAAAAAGATTCTCATAAATACATTGTCTGTGTGGAGTTTAATCCGTTTATGAAAGGTAGGCACAACTTTTTTATAGGGGCATCATGACTATCCCCCCCCCATATTACTATGGCTGACACGCCCCTAAAAGGGTGCCTTTACTATGGTTCCATGTCTGTTTTTTTTTCTGGTGAATATTACTGTCAGTGGGAATTAGCTACATTCGTTTATGAGATGTGGGCACATTTTTCCAATGGTGGGTATAATGAGAACCCCACCCCCTTTTTTCAATATGGCTGCCACGCCCCTAAAAGGGTGTATTCGCGATGGCTCCACATCTTGAATTTTTTTTTCTCATGAATGCCAATGTCTTTGGAAAGTTCCATTTCTCTGTGAATTTCGGAACGATATTTCCATGGTGAACATAATGAAAACCCCGCCCCCTGTTTTCCTGATATGGTTGCCACGCCCCTAAAAGGGTGTGTTTGAGATGGCTCCACATCTGGAATTTTTTTCTCATGAACATAAACGTCTGGGGGACGTTTTATTCGTTCATGAAATATGGGCACAATTTTTCCCAAGGTGGCTTTAAATGGCTGCCACGCCCCCCAAAAGGTGATGGCTTCGAATCTGGAAAACACTTATAATCTATATAATTATGTCTTTGTGAAGTTTCCTGCTTTTGTGACAAGTGGGAACAACCGTTTTCACTGCGGGCACGACAAGTCCCGCCCCCTTTTTTAAATGGATGCCACGCCCCTAAAAGGGTAAACTTGCGATGGCTCCACATGTAAAACATTTTCTGGCATGAATATAAACATCTGTGCCAATTTTCATGCTTTTATGCAAAAGTGCACAATTTTTTCATATATCCGCTGGACTAAAAGATGCGCCTCTATATGTACATGTACTTACCGGTACAGCAACAGGGAGAGAGACCTTTGCTACAAAGAAGTGAATAACCTTTTTGGGGAGGTTTCCAAAATGATCTGATTCTTATGAAAAATGGATCAATAAATTTAAATAAAGGCTAAACTTAGTGAACTTTAATAATTGCACTGCCAGGCCCGGGTTCAGGGGAGTTCTACATGCAATTACATGTAGTAAGTCACGATTGCGTGACAAAAGGACTCGAAGGCAGCCATAAGACAAGATTGTCGTAGTTTAGGTTTCTTTCTAATCACAGATACAAATATAGAGTTGTTTTAAGGGTGCTTGAATTAGAAAAAAAATAATGACATTTTGTGTCATTATTTTGCTGCTCTGGGCTCAAAGTACGTCTTTCTTCTAATTTAAGATGAAAACCGAGTTGATAACCTGTAATTGAGGGGTTTTTTTGGTGGATAAAAGGGCAAGGATGACTTTTGCAAAATGGAACATTGTAAAGACTTTTTTGGAAGATTCTCTGGTTGATTTTTTTTTAAAAGAAAAGTGGACAAGAAAGATGTCCTTATTTGGCATATTACTGTTACCGTACATACTTTCCATTATAGTGTCCAATTAAAATTGCTAAATCTGCTTATTCATACTATAGTAACTTTTTTTTGCATAGCCACGTCAGAGCCATACTAATCACCAATACTACACTATAGAGGGCGCCATTGAGTGTTCTCAGTCAGGAAAAAAAATGAACATTTATCTGTGCGTACATGTGAAAAGAACTTTGGCAATTTATTTTAAAAAAAAATATTAAGAAGAAAGCATTTGTGTTTATACTCTGATGAGACTGGTTGAATTTTCTGTATTGCTGTATTGAAGAATTCTTGGCTGCTCTCCCCAACCCGAGGTTCGATTTTCGATCACGCCCTGAACCCTAAAACTCATTTGTTTTTTATTTTCTTGGGGGGGGGGGGGGAACCATTCTTAATTTTCCAAAATCCAAAGATATATGCAAGAACAAAATGGCATATTCTCTTCATCAAACCTTAAAGGGGCATCAAGCCCCATGTGAAAAAACATCCTTCAAATCTTCCGAAATTTCTAAGTGGATATTTAAAAATCAAGGTGCATTAGAGTAATGTGCTCCCTTAAACATCGAAGTGCAATTTAATTTCAATTCAGTTATCTCCAGTATGATTGGTATCTATTTTGTGTGATTTTTCCCCTCAGTTTTGGATGAGGCTGACCGCATCTTGGATCTCGGCTTTGAGAAAACCATGAACGCCATCTTGGAGAATCTTCCCACAGAACGACAGACGATGCTCTTCTCTGCAACTCAGACCAAGTAAGTTGAAAGGCAATTGCTTTAACTGTGATAAACCTGCCATACCCGTATCATTTATGATTGCAATTACTGTACATACATATGCTCACATGTTTGCCATGATTACTAACAATATTTAACCCTAACCTCCTCAATCCTCCAAAATCCTCCAGGCGATTTTGGAGGGTTGAGGATGAATGGTGTTTGAGAAACACGAGGATTTTGGAGGAGTGAGGATGAATGGTGTTGAAGCACATGAGGATTTTGGAGGATTGAGGATGAATGGTGTTTGAAGAAGAGGAGGATTTGGGAGGATTGAGGATGAATGCATTTTGAGAGGCAGGACTGTCTGATGATTTTAAAAGAATTGAGGCGCTGGGTATCTCTTTATTTGAACAAAAGTTCGACCTTTTGGAGGATTTTGGAGTGTTGAGGACGGTTCGTAGCAATTCAAACTCTCCTTTTCCCTCATAGACATCCCTCTGCTTTTTAACTTAAAATGTGTCTCCCTTTTGGATTTTTTTCCCCAGAATTATTACATTTTCTTATAATGAAACCACTCAAATTCCATTCTAGAAGTTATTTCACAAGTTGACAAACACATGTTTAACACAATTGAACAAATCCAAGTTTGCACATGGTTCTATTTAACTTGCGTGTTTATTTTCATGTTAGATCTGTGCGGGATCTTGCCAGACTCAGCTTGAAGGACCCCAAGTATGTGGCAGTCCATCAGCATCATGAGTACAGCACGCCAGCTCAGCTGGAACAGGTTAGATCTTAGAAAATAAAGAACACGAGATATGTCTTATATTTTCTTTTCCAAATTTTCTATTTTTACTTGTGAATCAATTGACTGTATTGTGTAATTTTTCAAAGATGACAGTGTAGAACTTCCTTAAAATTAAACGTTGCCTGTTGGCATCAATCAATAAACTGGAAATAAAACCAAGGCTTTTGACTGCAGAAAGACTGGATAATTAGGATCTACCCACTGCACACCACACGTTGGCCATGACAGGTACGCTTCTCCACAGCATGGTTTAGTTGCGCGCATCGTACGAAAGTACACTCTTGTTTGATTTTTGTTTGACATTAATCAGTGCTGTTATTGCAAATTATCTTTGGGTGGGGTTTAATGGATTGGTCATATAACGGTTTGTAATCTGAAATTCCAGTATGATGCTATGGAACCTATACATTGTTATTTTGTGTTGCTGCAGAGCTATATCGTTTGTGATCTGGACCAGAAAATGGACCTTCTGTATTCCTTCATCCGTAACCACACCAAGCAGAAGATTCTTGTCTTCATGGCTAGCTGCAAACAGGTACCAGTCTATATCAATCTACCCTGAAATTCAACAAAACCAAACACTTGGTTTTGCAGTACTCACAGGTACACAATCCTGCTGGGGTGATGGGCAATTGTAGTAAAGTGTCTTGCCAAAGAACACAAATGTTTCCATCTGGGTTTAAACCCTTGTTTGAACGCTTTAACCGCTGGACCATGACACTCCTCAAATAAGTGTTATAAATTAGGCAATGTCTCAGAAGTTGGAACACTTCGAAAATCGCAACATAAGAACACTCCTCAAATAAGTGTTGCAAATAAGGCAACGTGTCAGCAGTTGGAACACTTAGAAAATCGCAACATAAGAACACTCCTCAAATAAGTGTTACAAATTAGGCAACGTCTCAGCAGTTGGAACACTTGCAACATTAGAAATTGCAACATTAGAACTGCTTTAGATTTGAAAAATTATGAGAGATACCCTTATCAACATAGTAGTGTGTCTTTATGGTTATTTTTTTCATTCCGATCGGTTTTCTATCTCCTACAGGTGAAGTACACATTTGAGGTCTTCTGTGCCCTGCATCCCGGTATCACCATCATGGCCCTCTATGGGACACTCCATCAGCTACGTAGAGTGGCCATCTATAATGAGTTCTGCCAGAGGGACAATGCCGTGCTGTTTGCCACAGACATCGCTGCTAGGGGACTGGGTGAGTTCTGCTGAAACATAGGAGTTCAGAAGGATTTTATTTTTCAAAATATTAGGAGTTGAAGGGAAAATATGTAGCATGGTTAGTCCTAAGGAAAGTCTTGTTAAAGTATGAACTGACAAATGAAGCTGTGTCTAAGTGGAATCGAACCAGGGCAATTAGAAGTGGAAGGTCGGGCACTACCCGCTGTGGTAACCTGCCTAGCCATGGGGTTAAAACTGGGAGAGTAGTGCTACTTTATAGAACCCTGACTTGCTAGGTATATTTATTAGAGGAAGCAGGGAAATTCCATGCAAAATCTGACATTTTGTCGTTCTGTAACGGTAACTAACCTCATTATTATTTGTAACGCGTAAACAATTTTTTTTTTCAAAAGATGTAAGTTGAAATAAAAGGTACTACGTTTTATTCTCACTTTCATTTTTTGAAAAGAAAAAAAGACATCTTTTCGTTTACGAGTTACGAATCACACTGAGGACTAGGACTAGGGAAGTTTAGGACTAGGGTAACTGAACTTCAGCAAAGAATCATTATTAATACTGAACACATTCTGTGAAAAGATTTTGTGTCTTCAACGGTTGTTAAATGTTTCAGCAGTCCAAATTTCTCGAAGACTTTTGACAGCTTTAGCTTCCTTTTTTTATCCAATGGACAGATTTCCCAGCAGTCAATTGGGTTCTGCAGCTGGATTGTCCTGAGGATGCCAGCACCTACATCCATCGCGTCGGCCGGACGGCAAGGTATGAGCAGGGAGGCGAGTCCCTGCTCATCTTACTGCCCTCAGAGGAGGAGGAAATGGCGAAACAGCTGGAGGAACGAAAGATACCCATCCAGAAGATCAAGTAAGTGTATGATTGGAGTGAGGCTGAGTTGGGCCAAGAGTGGGCTGAGATGATTAAGGCTGAGGAACAAGAAGTAGGATACAATGGTCTAAGAAGGCTTGTGGTTTGGTCTGTCAAAACCACATTCTTACGTTGTTCTCTTAGCATCTTTCCAGATGAAGGGATGAAAATTATCTGAAGCAAGATTTTAACCCGTGACCTTCAAATCACTGTGTCGTATTCCAAAAATTGCAGTTTTCAAAGCCTGCTATACATAATTCCTTTGTTTGACTGATAAATGGTAGTTACACCTATTTTATTCCTTCTAGAATTCAGTTTTGTAATGATATCAAATTGTAGTATATCATCCTTAAAGTTTTTTGATGATTTTCTTGTTTTGTTTTGTTTTCCATAAAAAGTGATATCAGTATTAAAATTGTAATTATGATTTGTGGATAATGCTGTTTTTCTGTAATAAAGCAAAATTGTAGTATATCATCCTTAAAGCTGAGAAGTTTTTGATGATTTTCTTGGTTTTTTTATCATAAAAAAAGATATCAGTATTAAAATTTTAATAGGGTTTGTGGAGAATATGGTTTTTCTCCAATAAAGCAAAATAAATTGTAGATTGGTGGCTCGCTGTATTAAGTTGTTGGATTTCATGCGTGAGTTTATTTCAATTTGTCTAAATCTTGGAAAGGATTACAGTTTTTTTGTTTTTGTTTTGCCTTTCACAGTGTCAATCCCAATCGTAAGCTGAGCATACAGAAGAAGCTAATGTCCCTGTGCGCCGGCAGTTATGAGCTGAAGCAATCTGCCCAGCGATGCTTCATCAACTACGTCAAGTCAGTCTACCTCATGAAGGACAAGAAAGTCTTTGATGTCAACCAACTCCCGCTAGAGAAATACTCCTTGTAAGTAGGCTGATGTTCGGAAAGCCGTTGGATAGGTGGTGGGATGGGTTTGGATTTGAAGCTGGGCTTCAACATTTTTATTCCACAATTTTCATGAAACTACATAAAAACAAAAGACGAGATTGTTCCAGAATAGGGTTAAAAGTAAAAGTGCAATTCTGTGTAGATTTGATAAGTTCACATGAAAAAATTATTGAATTTGAGGCTTCAGACTAAACTTTGTTATCCAGTCGGCCATGTTTGTCTTGTACCCAGAGGTCTACACAGTGATTAAATTATTAATGCCATAAATCAGGAAGGCACCAGTCTATTGTCAGGTTTGTGCTTTATCTTCAGTTCCTTGGGTCTTGCCATCCCTCCACGGGTCAGGTTCCTCCAGCGGGCCAACAAGAGGAAAGAGGAACAAGAGATGCTGAAGAAACGGAAGAACTCTAAGAAAGATGAGAGTGAAGACCCCGAGTCTGCTAACAAGAAGACAGGTACAGGGACAGAATTGCTAGAAAGGGAAATAGTTTTTACATATTGACTGGCAATGAGGTCACTAGTGCACATCTATGTACCCTGAGGGACTGTGGGTGGCAGAATATAAGAAATTGTCTCTCATGGTAACTATGACCTAAGGGGGTAAAGGGGGTGCACTGATGTACTGGAGGTCAATACTCCCTTCAATAACTTCTTGTTCAGCTGAAAATGAAATAATTGTGAACTTGATCTGTTTCTTCTTGTGTTTAATGTGATAAAAGAAGTTAACAGCCATTTTGTTGATCCTCACTAGTGCTTAAGCAGCACCGGAGAGGACCAGACTTAGTAATGGAAGAGGAGGAGCAAAATGAGAAAGACGAGGGACTAGACGCCCTGGTGGCCAAGCTGAGATCCACCGCGCCGAACCGGACCAAGGGAGGAGGTACCATCAAGCTGAGACAAAGACAAGAAGAGGAGAGGTTGGAGGAGGAAGAAATCAAGAGGATGAAAGAAATTCAGGAGGATGCTCAGAAAAATGCAGACGATGATGATGATAGTGATGCCGAGGATGTTGGTAAAAAGGTTCCATCATCAAGTGACAAAGTTGCCATTTCAAGAACACAGAGAGTAACATCAGAGAGCAAAGCGAGAACTCTCGATAAGCCAAGCAGTGCATCCAGCAAAAAGAAATTTGGAAAAGAAGGCAAATCTGAAAAACCTCAGAAGATATCAAAGTCTGATGACGAATCGGAATCAAGCTCCGAGGAAGACTCTGAAATTGAGTCACAAAAGCCAGGAGAGACGGGTTTCCAAGGAGATGATGACGAGGAAGGTGAAGATTTCCTGGTTGTCAAGAAGAAGGATGTCTTTGGTATTGCTCTGGAAAAACAGGTGAGTCTACTTCGTGTCTAACAACTTGTGTCGCTTGATTGCGTCAATTCAGATACCTAATCGTTACTCAAATTGTTCCACTTACGGTGTACAACCATAATTAAATGTTTCTGCCATCTTTAATTTACACGTTTTCCAGAACATTGAGAAGATAAATGAAGTCATTTACCAGAACTTACAGATACGGCCATTTTTCTAAACAGTACTCAGTTACACTTTTGTTTAGAATCTTTTGACTTGAAGTTTTGTTTTATCTTCTGGCAGAAACAAAGGGACCCTACAACAGAAACGATAGAGGGCGCCAAGCACGTTGGAAAATCTAAGAAGCCACCAAGTAAGGTTGCCATGGCGAAGAAGCTTCGCCGCATGAACATTGCCGTCAATACTAAGAAGGTCTTTGATGAGGAAGGAGAGGTACGAATCAAATAATTTGTTTCATCTTTCCTGTCAGAATTGTTCACGTAAATTTTCAGGTTTCCAAACTAGACAAAAATCTAAGCTTTATTGTTCAGAACTAACATTTACACAAAAGTGATTATCACATTTTGTTCATCAATTCAATCAAAGACTCAAATCAGTTATATTCAAATTCTTGACAATTTGTTTTTTGAAAATCTTGGTTTTTTTAACTTCTAGGTTGCAAAGCAGTGGCCTCCAGTCCAGCAGACTGCAGTGCCTGGTGATGATGAGACACTGGAGGGCGGTATTGATATCGAGAAGGCCAAGGTGTGGATGAGAGAGGAGGACCAGCATGATAAGCAGGCCTTCCGAGAGCGCATCAGGGCCAAGCATAAGGTAGGGCAGTCACAGGCCAAGCAGGATACTAGGCACAGTGCTGTAGGTGATAGTTAAGGGAACCTAATGATCCCTGGATTTTTCACTGCTCAGTCTGGATTGTATTTGAGCAATGAGATATAGTCCCAAGTTTTGTCTGCCCCCCCCCCCCCCAAAAAAAATTGTTTTTAGAAATTAGAAATATGTGAAATTTAACAAAATACAAACAAATTAAGAGTTTCTCATATGGAAGTATGCAGAGGAAACAAGTCCGTTCTCGTTTTGGTCAAACGATAATTTCATGACCTTTTAATTATGCCTTTTCAATACAGGCTGAAAGACTGAAAGCAAAGGAAGAACGCAGGAAACTTTCAAGGAGAAAGAAAGCAGAAGACTCAGAAGATGTAAGTTCCTTGATCGTAAATTGGAGAAAAAAGAAAAAAAAGTTTCATTTTGTCTTCGCCTAATCTGTAATTGGTCCCAGATCTCCGATTGGCTAAGATTAAACAGCTACGCTTTTTGGTTTTTTGACAGGATGAGGATGTAGGTGCAGAACTTGGCCTTGGTGACGACTATGTGCCCTTTGACCCTGACACCCTCCCCGACCCTGACAAATATGCAAATGAGGACAGCGGAGCCGACAACGAAGAAGAAACACCAAAGAAAGTTTCAAAAAAGAAAAAGACGAAGCGGAAAGAAAATGCTGAGGAAACGCCCAAGAAAAGAAAAGCAAAGTTGGATGAGGTGAGAGGAGATAAGTCAACCACAAAGAAGAAAAGAAAAATGGTTGGGAAGGGGGAGGGACTTGGGGAAAGGGAGGAGGGGGCATCAGTGGATACAGGATTGACGTTACAAGATGATGAAGAGCTGGCACTGCATATCCTATCCAGGGGCCAGTTTTGAAAGCTAGAAAATATCACTTGTTAGGAATTCCGAAAAACTAACATAAAAAAACAATGAAAGCCACAGCCATCTTTCAGAACCACGGAAAAAACGTCCCTTTGAAAAATAATTGTCTTAGTAAGGGTGGCTTTGATAACATGCATCACATGTCCATCGCAATATACCCAATCTCACCTCTTAATAATTTGCCGACACCCTTCCAAACCGTCTGTCATTAGGAGTGTTCGCATTGTGTTTCAAAGCACAAAACTCTACTCAACTTGTGCCAAGCCTGTACATGTTCGTATTTTTTACCGTGGCCAGTCCGGCAATCTGGAACATTTTATTACTTTCATTAGAATTTACAAGTTTCACACAACTGACATAATGGCTTAATAATTTTGAATTGAATAAATTCCACCGTGTCATTCAATGTCAGCAGTTTGTCTTGAAATCATTTTAAATTGTTCTGAAACCTCTGTGTGTCTGTGTAAATTAGTATCTTGAGTACAAGTGCATGTAGTTACTTCTGTAATTGAAAAAGAGGCCTTGGTATGGGTTTTTTTTTTCTCCCGGACGCCTTGAACTAAACCTCGACACTGAAATGGGAATTAAAATGCTGTCCAAAATAGTATGAGACAATGAACTAGGTGTTTATCAACATACCCTTGAATCCTTTTGGGTTTATATTAAGACTTGTTGGAATGCATTGCATGCCCTTGGTCATAACCAAGACCTTGACTTACAAGTCATTTTGACGTCAGAGGTGTTTTATATTTAACTAGTTATAATTAATCATTTGTGTTTGTATATGTACTCATTATGTTGACATGATTTGTGTTGTGAAAGAGAATTTTATGAGGGTATACTACAGCTCGAACAAAATCAAACCGGTATTCAGTAAAAGAAAAGTTTTGTCCACAAACTTAGAAAGTGAAAAATGACGGTTGTGAAGTTTTGATATGCACCTAGAAATTTGGGCGACAATTATTGCCTAACTTTCCGAAACCGTATGCGTGAACTGATCCTTGAGAGGGTACTGGCTATTAAGCGTGTCATTGATAATAGTGATGCAGTGTTTTTCATCCTTGGGGGAGGATTAACTGCTATCGTATGAAGCCAAGCAAGTAACTTTTTTTGTCCCAAATGACGCCCGGTAATTCTTCCCCAGTAGTAACGTTGATGATCACGAATTGATCATTGTAGCGCACCGCACCCCAGTGACTAAACGTATAACCTGAATCATGATAATTGTCTGGCCAAACCGATAATTGTTTTGTGAGAAAAAGTTCTGGAAAGAACTCGTGTGCTTGCAACTGGCTGTACTGGTCAGTGAAACCGCAATCCAAGCTCTCCAACAACAAAACTTTTTCGTCAAGTTTTGAAAGGATACGATTCAGCCACATGTACATGTATTCTTTTTTTCGCGGATGCAGTTTTCCCCTGTGTGGTTATAACTTCCCGAGAATCGTGACGTCATTTGACGCAAGCTCTCTTGTGAACAACCATCCGCAGGAAACGCACAAATAAGAATGAAATGCCAACTTTTCAAAATCCTTTTTTAAAACTTCCCACAACTTGACCGATTGGTGTCATCATTGGGCAACATTAGTTGTGTACGATTTTCCACATGACAAATTTGACTAAAGCCAACTGAAAAGGCAGAAGTACTGTGATGTGAAGCGGGAATAAGCTTTATGTGCACATGTGATCCGTTAAATAGTTCTTTCAAATCGTTTAATCAACCGGCGATGATTTATCGCTTTCCGGTCCTTGATTCCTGTGAAATTGGTCATACATCACTCCTCACTATGCAGTTTCCTGATTGGGCTTGTTAATTGAATCGCGATAAATCATTGGAGTGAGGTAGATGGCAGTCGGGATTGAAGGGTCGAGTGTGCAGGTAAAACTGGGATTATTTCGAGCAGCGCTAGGAAACTCGGAGACCGTTTACATCTTCACATGCAGCATAAACGCTGTTGCAGCTTTGAGCATCAACGCGCGCCGGTATAGCGCTTCTTCACAAACCAACACAGACATCAGAGTGTCCTCGTTCATAATAAGTACTGTTCCTTGTGAGTTCTTATACGCTCTCGGCAAGTTGTCTGCTTTTTTCGCAATAATCCCGCTATTTGACGCAACTCCTTGCCGAAGGGGGTAACTAGACTGCGATTATACAAAAAAGAACGAGGCTAGAAAAACATGCGACTCATAGACGAGTTACAGTCCAAAGTGGGAGATTATGTGACACTTCAATGAGACTAATTACTAACTTCTTGACACACAAATTCAGATAGCTTCCGGCCCAGTAGGGTGCACACTCTGTCCAATCATGAATGGGCAAGAAACTATTATTGAAAACTTGATGGCGCTGATACGGTGCCTTTGTGGCTGTGACCGAGGCCAAAAAGTTGTAAAATTGTCGAGAATGACCTTAAAAGTTAATCTTACTTCTTTCTTCATTACATTACAGTAATCTTTCCAAATTAACAGTAATTCTACTCGAACAGAATAGTGTTAATCACTGTAAGTGGTGCTAGAAGTCAATAGCTGAGATTTTCAAGGACCAAACATTATGAGATTTGGGGCCTTCTTATGAAAATACCGTTCGGTGACTGTTGACGAACTTCACACTGGTATGGTAGAAGGGGAAGGTATTTTTCAACACCCAAGGTCTGCCGGTGATAAAGGGCAGATCCTAAGGTCAGCTCTCGCTGTTCAAACACCTGTCAACATTCAGCATACAACATCAGCCGGACCCCGTTCAGTCAGATGTGCATAAATAGCGGGATCGGCAGTGGACGTCATCAGTACGGGCGTGTTGGATTTCCGGACTTGGCGATCTTTATTAAACCCCGTGAAGTAGTTTGAAGACTTTTAGTCCTGTGGATTTTTTTTTCTGCTTTTACGTAAACAACTTGGTAGTTTGAACTTGACGAAATTGGATCTAAAACCTCTTATGGATGATATTGGTTCTAACTGTGAAATCTGCGTATGTCGTCTGACGAAATAAATTGGGACCAATTTTTGCGCTTCCACGGCAACCCGTAATAATACCATTCCAAGTGGATTACACACCGATCACTCCCCACTGGAAACAAAAGTGCTCCTGACCACATTGTCTTGTACACGCTGCTTCGTAGAAAAATCCTGCAGTTTTACGTTACAAAAACACCATCCGTCCAGTCGTTTCCTTCTGTTTAGTCTGACCACCTACACCAACTTCCTAGTTCGGTAACTTCCGTTCCTGTGAGCTGCTCAAAAGTACAAGCACAAAGTTCCTTGCTCAGTACAACGTGTACATGAACATACGATTTTGTTTTCATCTCGCGGACATAATTATTCTAACGTGGAGTATTATTCGTCAAGGATTCAGCTTGCTCGGCGCAAACATGGAGCCAACCCTTCTCTTTCCGAAATCGAAATCAGAGTCGTCGTTAAAACTATCATCAGTACTTTTATGTCTACTTGGCGCATTTGTTTTCATTGACGTAACTCACGCACGACCGTTGTGTGGAGGCAAGCCAAGTAAATCTGACACTGAAGATGCCACGTTTTCTCCGGGAGTGGAGGGCGGCGAGGCGCGCTTGGAGTCATCCTCGAGGGGGCCAGAGGCGTTGGTTGACCAGGAGGAACCGCTGGAGAACAGGAGGAGCTCACCGGGGACCGATGGAAGAAGGCCGTGGGAAATAAACGAAGGTATAATTTCCAAATTAAGAATGTACTTGCAAGATACAGACTCTTTTAGGTCTTCAGTATGCATTTTGTGTAGCTGTTACGTAATAGTCATGTAAGTAGCCGAACTGCCAGTGAGACTTTCAAGTGCCAACCCAACCTTGGGGAGGAGCCACTGCCGGAGTGCAGGATTTAAACTTTAGAACAGTACCTGCCAAAATGTTGGTTTCTCTTAAGAACACACCTTGCTTAAAATACGTAATTTGACACGTAAAATGAAAAATAAGTATAGTCCAATAATGCGGGATCCAGCACTGATGTAAAATAAAACATGTCCTGCAAAATAATGTAAAGCTTGTAAGATGTACCAATTTTTCGATGTTGGGTATTGGTAGCACCAATTCCCGTGTACTTTGCTGATACCAACGGGCTCTCTCCTGATCGGTGTTCTCTGCGTGGTCTTTTCAATGTCACGCTGCGTCACAGCATACACCTGCCTGCCTTACCTATCCTCTCTTTAACATTAATTTAAATTCGGACATGTTTTTTTCTCACAGTGTTCTGGTATTGGGTTGTACATCGTGTCTTCCCATACCTCTGTTGGGTCGAGGAATATTTCTGCCTGATGTCTGCATATATGCCTACTCTTAATGGTTACATATTCAGGTCTTGAAAACATTTTTGGGCACCTTTTTTCAGTAACATAAGAGTTTCCCTAGATTTTGATCGGCAAAAATCTGTTAATTTTTAGGAGGCCTTTTGCTGTCATTACAGTAAAGGTTATGTCCGACCGGGCAGTGCGGGTTCAAGGCAGCACAGCTTGCGAGGACAAACCGGTCGCACTGACCGGAAGTCATTACGTCTACTTTCAGGAAAGATGAACGACCTTTTTACAAGAACATTCTTTGTTCATTAGATAATGTTATGGTCTTTAACATATTGTGAGTCATTCGGAGATGTGGAAGAAATCAAATCTGCAAGATTTCTGCTACTCTTCGTAAGAGCACTTGAGTTTTTACAGAACATCTATCATAATTACACCGGTATCCGCATGCATTCGTTGATTATGTACATGTACAACCATGGAGGACGGAATAGTTTTCCTCCATCATCTGGTACAACATTGGCTACCAAATTAAGTAATTTAGAGCAAGGTGTTCGGCGCAGTAAAGTTCAAAATCTTTTGGTGAAGGATTTCATCGGTTTTTTTTTATCAGGATGTGCTCTGTATACACACGTCAGAGAGTGTATACTACGCTTGTTTTTAAAATAAACAGAATAAATGGACAGCCGAGCAAGGAAAATAAATATAATCTTTGGCAAACGAAAACAGTGATGGCAAAAGGTCGAGGTTGGGCTGGTTATTTTCTTAATAAAACTTTCATAAAATTATATGTAAATGGTATGTACCTTGAATGCCTGAATATTTGTAAACTAACTTTGTTTTGAAGCGCTAAGTTTGTTCTTAAAAATAATGACGAATTAGATGTATAAACTTGTGGATTTTTCTCATTTTTTTCTCAGTGTTTTGTTTTCAGAATTTTGTTCCTTTTTCCTGTAGGTTTGTGCCCTCCACCACTGGCCCACCTGTGTACCATCACTATACCGGGACCAAGCGGTGGAAGTAAGTACTTTTTCATTTTAAGGATTTGTACTGGAAAGAAAATTGTGAATAGAAGTAGGTCAACTAAAGACTTGAAGCGAGTGTAGAATGTTAGGAAACTGAAGAGGAATTGGAAAGGGGAAAGTAGTATTCGAAATGCTCGTCATTGTACATGTAGGCCTATGTCAATTTATTTTCGTTTTTCGTGTAGTCATTTTTTATCGGACTGAAACATCAGTCAACTCGAAGAAGAGGAGCTTTCGTTCCCACTTTCTTCTAACAAATTAGAAGCTAAATATTGACTTCTCCTAGGTTCACGTGTCTTTCCTTATTATGCCCTCGCAGCTCAACAGGCCTTCGTCACGCCATTCTTCGAGGGAGATATCATCTTAGATCCAGGCACACGTCGCAATCTCGGCCTGGCCAACATGCTGCAGCGGGCCGATAGTACGATGCAGCGGCGGGCCATGCGCAACCATCGCACCCGTGCGCGGTCCGCTAGTGTGCGTACCACGCGGGCCGTGGTCAGGCCCACGGTCCAGCGCTGGCCGGACGGGATCATACCGTACATCATCAGTGATGATTTCGGTGAGAAAACTCTACTTTCTCTCCTAACTTCATTGCCACAGTTTACTGTTTTGAACTTAAAATCTGTTCTGTTGAATAACGTTTGACAGCACTGCAGTCGTCAAACTAGAAAGCAAGCTTTATTAACAAGATGATGGATGGTATTGGCCTATATTTAGAAATTTGGTAAAAATGCTCGTCAGGATTGAATATTAATTTGCCTAATACGAATTAATTCCAAGCTTTTGTTCTTCGTCTTTCAGCCCCAGACACAGCCAAGTTGATCCGAAACGCCTTGAGGCACTGGGAGAGACAAACCTGTCTAGAGTTCAGAGAGAAGAAAGCTAAAGACCAAGATTATCTCCACTTTGCTTATTACCCTGGGTACGAAATTTAATGAGTTAAATCTGTGCTCGGGCTCAGGTTCTGAATTGGGCCTTGAGGAATTGACGTTCACTACTTGGGTAGATACTATAGGGAGGGGTGTGGCATCATTGGGGGGCGGAATCACTTTTTCTTGGAAGGGGTCAACAGATTAATGTCAAAAATAAGATTAAATTCTGCTGGATGTTTGATAATATGCTAGTTTTCAAGAATAGGTGTACTTCCTGTTTGGGTGATTTTTTTTCCAACTTTCACTCGGGAGGTAACACACTGAGTACACAAGTGTTCATACGTCGGTGAAGGGCAAAACCTAATTTGAAACTTTGGATTCTTACAACTTATTAGGGGAACAAATGCTAGAGTGTAAAATGGCGTGTGAAATTTGTCATCCCAATAAGGTAACATCAGACCACGCCCCTTCAAGAATTTGTCTGATCCTTTCTCTTTCTTTTACAGTTGTTGGTCGTATGTTGGGAGGCAGGGAGGGGAGCAGATCATCTCTATGGGGCCAGGCTGTGCCGTCTTTGGTACCATTGTCCACGAGATTGGCCATGCCGTCGGCTTCTGGCACGAACAGAGCCGGCGCGATCGTAATAAGTACATCAACATCATGTACAAGAACATCGTACCGGGCACGGAAGAAAACTTTGGCCAGATAGACCCTGCTAACGTCACCAGCCTGGGCTTCCCCTACGACTATGAGAGCATCATGCACTACGCTTCCAACGCCTTCACGGCAAACGGCCAGCCTACCATCAAGATCAAAAAGATTGGCAGGAAACTCGGGTTCCGCCTGGGTCAGCAGGGAGGGTTGAGCCCGCTGGACGTGGCACAGGTCCGGGCAATGTACGGCTGTAACCAGAAGAAAATGGCCCAGGAGACAACAGGTATGGGAAGCCTTATCATATATCCTACCTACTCTGAACTCATCAAAATCTAACAGATTTTGTAGGATTTTGGTAGGATCAGGGCTAGAGATCCCAGTTACTGTTAGTTTACATCGCGTTTGCTGTTCTAATCATATTTTGAAAGAACGACAAATGCGGCATTACTGCAGAATTTGGTTTTGGTAGATTCAGGAAGATTCCTGGCAAATTGCCTAGGGACCTAGGATTAATTTATGCAATTTGCTTTTGAAATCGACATCAAAAATCCAATTTAAATATCTTCCATAAATCTAATACCACAACAGGTCTTTGTTTTTCCACCCTAAATCTTCATGGAAATATAATATGCGTGTGTCAAATGTGTTTACATTTCAAACAATTTAGACATTGACAGTTTGGGAGATGGGGCTTGACAGCTGAATTGGTAGAATGTTGGTATAGTGTGACAGAGGTCAATTTCCAGTCAATTTAAGTTCAACTAAATTTTGTTTTGAAATAAACCTAACCATTATATCAGTGTAGGTTCAATCATTTTTTTAATGTAGTGGTATTTTTTTCATTTCTGAAATTCCTGCAGAAGAGTGTACAGTCAGCAAGCACGGTGACGGCCGAAAATACAGAGGCACACGCGACTACACGGTGTCCGGGGCCACCTGCCAAAAGTGGAACTCGCAGTGGCCTCACAAGCAGGAATACTGGAAGGAGGAACCGGCCAGGAACGAGAAACAAGGCCTAGGGGACCACAACTACTGCCGCAACCCCTCCGGCAAGATGGAACGACCCTGGTGCTTCACCACGCTCAAGAAGACGCGGTGGGAGTACTGCGACGTCAAGATTTGCGACAGGGAGACGTGAAGAATTGTAGTGTGAATCTTGAATCATGGTTTAGATGCAGCTGGAGTGGTACTACATACTGTACAGTACTTCGGGTGAAATTGTTGACTTCTTTGAAAGTTTTAGAACACTGGAGAAATTAAAAAGAATTTGCAGAAATGGGTTAGGGAGGTTGGAGGGTAACATTTTCCCATAGGTTTTAGAAAAACTTCTTTGAAAGTTTTAGAACACTGGAGAAATTAAAAAGAAATTAATAAGAATTTGCAGAAATGGGCTAGGGAAGTTGGAGGGTAACACTTTCCCATAGATTTCAGAAAGATTTATGTAAATTCGTTGCATTGTTCTTATACATGTATCTTGCAGAGTTTGTAGTCAAGTATTATCACAAGCCCAGTCTCGGGTAACAGGGGGTGAAGAATAACTAAAGAATGCTTTCGTCAAGTTGATTGGCAAAGCTTGTGACATGTCTGTAGGACTTACGTGCCATGACTTGAGGCTACAATTCTGACATATTATGTATATTGTTCTTCTCTACTTCTTGTATCATGGTTGTGTTTGATATTTTGATGTATAATGCGATCAACATTTTAAGATGTATTTAATTGTTTGTGTTACATGTATTTCATTTTGCTGCCATATCAGTTAACTTGCCGTTTTTAGTTTTTGATCAGGACTGTAATGAATTAACACTTTGCATTCAGAATCAAAATAAAATATGTACAGGAATATCAGATATTTCTCTTTTACATTGCATTATATAGATATTTATTTTAAAAGAAAAAGGTGTTACAACAGCATACCTGGAAAACCTTACAAGGTCAATTCTTTTTTCCAAATTTTGTATGTACATAATATCTACATGAATTATCACTAGTTATTTACAAAGCATTTTTTGACGTTCTTTTTGTTAAGTTGCTGCCTTAGATCTTATTACTACATGTATTTATTTTGTAACATTAGTTTTCATGTACACCTCAACTATTATTTATAATGAACTTTGTGAAATAATCTAGAAAACCAATAAATTAATGTCATAATGTGCTTTCTGCACCGCCGACCTCTGACTGTCTGTTAACATTCCGGTCCCTTAAAATCCAAACTTTACTGCTCTGTTTAGGGTACATGTATAAAGAAGGCACTTTTATTTGTTATCAAAGTGGTGACCTTTCCAACTGAAAGCGGGCACGTTAAAGGTTCCCAAACAAAATACAGGCATCTTTGCTTCTTTGGCTTCTTGTACATTGATATTAACCAATTGCACACTCTTTACAATGCAGTGGTTCTTCTACTTCAGAATGGTACAAATGTTTGCTTCAATTCACAAAATGTTGGTTTTTCTCATCCACTGGTGGAATCTAGGATCTGCCGAACAAAGGCAAGGACAGTATCTCTGTGCTGTAGTAATTGTCACTGGAATAAGATTGACGTTGATAGAGCATCACTAGCTCCTAGACGTCCACTTGCATCACCTGGCAAGGATCACAGTGCTCTCTATTTCCCTCAGCGTTCTCTTGCCTTGGGTGAGGAGCATGCGGATGGCAATCTGTGAAACAGAAATTGACAACTTTTAAAGACCACTTATTATGAAAGGCCAAGAACTTCGTAAGAGGCCTAGACATGGGAATCATTCATGAAACTGTTGGGTTTTCATTCAAGGTACCTCATCCTGTTGCTTCTTGTTCTTCTTGAATTCCTCCCTGGCCCATTGTCTCAATTCCTCCCTGTCCGTCTTGTCTGGCACTCGCCTCAGAGATCGCTGGATGTCTCGGTACAGACCTAAGACTTGCTGTCTCAGCAGAAACTAATCATCACGGGAGGAGACAAACAAAGTTAGGATTAGGACTTAGACTTTTTGATTATCTCAGGAAGCTTAGATAGCATTGCAAGTCCTTTGTTATCGTGTAAAGGAATGCAAAATATAGCTACCATTTTATAAAAAGCAAATAGGCCTAGCTCCAACCCTTTGGCTTTAGTTTGTCCCTTATCCTGTATTCTTCCGAATTTCAAGCATATATCAAGGATATATATTTTTTCTAACAAACTTTACCCTCTAGCTGTCGAATTTGCTTGGGAAAAACAAATACATTGTAGGCCTTAATCATTAAGGCCTACTTAATATTATTAGCTCTATTATAATCAGGACCTTAGCTTAGTTAACTGACGTAACAAAAGTAAACACCAAGGGAGACTCGGACAATTTTACTCTTTTTTAGGCCTAACCATTGCTAACCATCTGACCTGTGACCGTGCTTGCTAACGTTAGAAAACGTCCGAGTTAGTTGTTAGTGAAAAAAACATGGCATCACGATGACGCATTATGCCATTAATTGTACCATTAATTCTAGTTTCTGGCCCATTCATTTCCACAGACTATTTTAACGCTGCTGCAACAATTGTTGAGGTTAAGATTGACTAAAAGTACAATTGTTCGCTCATTATTTACCTGCTTCAGTGTCAAGGCTTTGGGTATCTTGGACGCTGCCATTTTGTAGCCCGCCCTCTATTGCAATCAAAACATATCGGTTGAAAAATCAGTAGAGGGCGGGCTGCAATTTTATGTCGAAAAAAAATGCATGACAGAGGGCGGGCTTTAAATTTAATAATAAAAAAAATAGATATCTTAAAAGCTACAGAGGACGCGCTTCAAATAGTTGGACAAGTGGGAAAGTATTTCAATAGAGGGCGCGCTTCAATTATTGTACATGAGGCTTTTTTCAAACCTCGGCGTCGTCGCCGCTTAGCTACAGCTACATCGCTTAAGTAATAGCCCACACATAGACGAAGCCGGGGTTTGGAAAACTGCCATGTGACTGAAGGTCAGTAGAGGGCGCTCTTTTTGTTTGAAATTTGTTAAAATTTCAACAGAGGGCGTGCTTCAAATTTTCAACAGAGGGCGTGCTTCGTTTTGGTTTTATCAGAGCCCTTCAACAGAGGGCGTGCTTTCAGTAGCCACTAATTAAAAAGGATTTTGATTTTTGAATTAAGTTTGGTATTTGTAAGCTGAACTAAACCACAGAACTTAATTTACTGACATTAAAACACAGGATATATTTGTGTCATCTTCTTTAAATGAACATTTATTCTGAGTATGTACATATTAAATAATAAGTGGAATTTAATAAGCATTACAATTTATACACAATTGTTTCTTCATATTTTTTTTTTATACAACCACAGTTTACAAAGTACCGGTACATCCAAGACAAGTGAAGTCACATTCCACATGCATTAATAGACATCACATGATTTTCTACCTTAAGTCAGCAGCGCAGCATAAGCCTGTTCATATGTCTTGCAATGCCTGTATCAACTTCCTGAAAACAAACTAATATAAGGTAAGGAAGAAAAGGTAATGAAGTTATAGCTGCATTTGAAATACTACTTTGATGCAAGTATTGATGATGCTCCTAGGACTAAGTACAAGTACAACCTGACGTCACCCTTTTACTACACAATTGTGTAGAACCAATCAGTGCTTTTTCAGATACATCTCCAATATATAGTTATGACGTAAATTTAATATGCCCCCTTCTTTCACAAACGTTTTCAGCTAGGGTTTCACATGAAACCTAGTGTTATAATATATTTTGCTATACTGAACAATTATGAATGTAATGACCTTTTTAACATGTGTTTAAGATTCACACAACTCATGACTTTTGACCTGAACCCCCCAGTGTTGGGGGGGGGGGGGGGTGTTACGGAATTGTCTCATGGCAAGTTACCAGTCAAATTTCATGGCAATACATCACGTCTCACTGAAGTTAGCGCAGTGACTCCAGTGCTTTCATTCATGCCTATTCATTAACCTTTGACCTGTAGCCTCCAAATTCATGAGGTTCCATCTAACTCCCACTAGCAGACTATGTACCTGTCAAGTTTCATGACAGTGTATCAAATAGGCCTATAACTTGCATTATACAGTCAACTCTTGTTAGTACAAACTCTGTTAATACAAAATTCTGGTTATAACAAACATAAAACCTTGGTCCCGACTGTGCATTTAAGCACACAATGAATGGGACTGATGTTCCTCTTAATAAAAAATTCTGATATAACAAACAATTTGGCTAGGTCCGAACGAGTTTGTTATAACGAGACTCGACTGTAGTAATAACTTTCATGTACCAAGTAAAGTTTATTTGGGCTGCTCACACGTACGTACATGTTTGGTACTAAAGTATGTTGCCTGGTATGGTGCTGAAGACAGTCATGCTGATGAATAGAATTGACAAGATGAATATATATGATGCACAGTAATGTCTGAAATGCAACTTACAGTGAATTAAAATCAGTAAAATAATTTTGTTTCATTTACTGTTTTTCATGTAAGCACAGCAATGGTTGTCAAATATTCAATTTGTTGTTAAACTGCTTCCCAGAATTTTTGAAAATCAAGAACCTAAAAGCTTTTTTTCAAAACTCAAAGACTTTGTGTCTCCCTCTTCCTAGAAAAACAAATACACTAATAAATAAATATACTGCATGTTTGCTTACCCTGCGGAACCAATCGTTCACCACATTCAACAATGTCAGGGAATGTGAAGTTAAAGATAGCTTTCAGATCAGCCTACACCTAGTTAGTACAATCACTGTTTATACTTCTTTCCCAAAACAAATAAGCATTCTAAGCTACTGCTAGACTATTCAGAGCATGCATGTACGTCCACAAAATGTCGCTAAGTGCAGGTAGATTTAATTCTTTTGGAATACCGTGCAGTTGATGTTTTCTTTAAAAAGAAACTGTGAATCACTACACATGAATCTACTGTCCTAGTAAATTATCTATTGAGCTCAAGATCTGTGATCCACAAATTAGCATTCCAATCTGGGGACATTTGGAAGATTAGATTACATACATTTACATCTTCATTTTCATGGTTGCACCTTTTGGAACTATTTCACAAAACCATCTACTCAATTTTTTGGGGGGAAAAATGGAAGCATGCAATAGCAGTAGGGTAAGGTACCAAACCCTTTGTGACTTTACAATTCTAATGCCGATGAAAATAATACTCGATAAATTCAGACAAAATGTGCTACATGTATGTTCTCCTATGCTGCAAAGAGTTGCTAAAATAGAGATAAAATGTTTCCTTTTAAATATCAGGGTTTGATACGGCTAGTGTCGTACCATACCATATCCCCCTCCCCACATTCCAGAAAAAAAACCCCAACTTTCCACATATCTTACTTTAAACAAAGTAATGCTACAAATTTTGTCCAAGATAATAGGTTTTTTTGGCAATACACCTGAGCAGCATAATTAAAAATTTCATCTTCTCCCCTTAAACTCCTCAAACACACATTTTGGTGGAATGTTGAGCACGGTAAATTATAATTATTTACATCTTTGAAATGTTGTGCATACCATTAAATACACGGCAGTCTAATTTTCTAATTTTCATCTTTGTTTGTAAACGTGTGCGTCTATGCAATATAAAAGTCAAACTAGTTGCATAGAGTAAACCAAAAGATGAATTAAAATTTAAGTGGTACTTTTGAAGTTAGGGTTTGTGATCAAAAATAATAATGGAACTGCGTTACACATTAATTTGTTAAATTCAATACTTGCGCTTACTTTGTGCAAAATAAATCATATTTCCGAGTATCATCACTGAATGAAGTGAATTAAACTCTGTTACTGCTGTCACGGTGATGGGCTTCACAAAAGCCAATAGATACTTTGTCTTCCAAATTACGGCCAGGAGTGATAGGAATAAATAAATGAATCTCTATCTTCAGATAAAAACCCCAATCTCTGAGCCCAATTTTGTGGAGTTGCTGAACACAAAACAACTGCAAAGCACTGCAAATATGGACTAGGCGAAAACAGGTTAACAGCCAGAAAATTTATGCAGTGTGTGTTGCTCGAAATCTGGCCCTTCAGGAAACCTTCCTGATTTGAACATGAACTCCAACACTGTAAAGTAACCCAATGGCAACTTCTTTGTGCCTTGACAAATAGATGTTACGCCCCAACCATAGTCATGCACCCAACTATAAGACAGTCCCATCTATACACTATCCCAACTCTAGTTGATGCCTCCTCTAGTTGGGAAGTAGTTGGGAAGTCCCAACTAGGATTACAGTTTGGGCACAACACCGACATCAAACCTCATGTAAAGTAATAGGCCTACTGGTTGCTCTGGACATTCCTTTTCCCTTTCAAAATCACGTTGGGTTTTTGGCTGATTTGGCAGATTAAACATTATTATATTGCAACTACGTACATTAACGCTATTTTGCTGGCATGAACTCCACCAACCAATTACTCACAATATTTACAAATACGTGTAGTATTTAATTATAAGCCAATTACTGAATATTTCTTCGTTTTTTTTTTTCTTTTCGTAATGCAGTGACTGCTCCGACAAAATGGACACACACACACACCAGTGACACGCAATTTAGCGTACTATGTATACATAATATCCTATAAGTACAGTACATGTACATTCACCAGTCCATGTTACCACAACCCACATAATGACGTACGAGTCTGTGAATCCATATGACTTTACGCTATAAGACATAACTTTTAACCAAAATTGGTTTAAACAAAAATGGGAATAACGTGTAAACTTTTTAAAAATAAAAACAATTCGATGTCTGAAGTGAAGCTTAAATATTGACCAAATTTACGTTTTTATATACCCTCCCTTTTTAATGTCTGTTCATTCATTGATTATTCAACCTCTTTTAAGGGAGAATACTGATTGAACTTTATAGACATTTATTTCAATTGTCTCTCAATAAGAGTCCTATTCATTTCTGTTTAAAAGCCTACTTGAATGGAATCCCTTGTCAAATCAAACATGTTACATAAAATATTTCATTTCAGAAAATTCTTAGGGTAAATGGCTGGACAATTTAGAGCTCAAATATAAAAAAAAAATTGCAAACAAATTTTTTTCTGGACGGATGCATTACAATCACAATGTAGAATTTTAACATCAATATTTCTGTATACAAAACCTCCATTCCTTATTAAGGCCTGTGGTAAATTCACGCTGAATAAGCTTTTGAATCAATCATAATTCTACTTAAGCATGATGAATGAAAGCCGAAACAATACACCTTACACGTGGCGGCCATCTTAGAGGGCATCTTTTGTTATTTGAATTCATTAACAATAAATGCACACAAGGTTCACTCATGCATATCCCCGCCAAACAAAGGTATTGCCATCTAAGATGGCTGTTCATACATAAGGCCCAAAAAAAAAAGTCTCCGGTTTCTGGTATGGAGCTTGCCCAAAAAGTGGTGCGGCGACACGGCTTTTTTTTTTTTTTTTACCTGTTTTTTTTGCTTCAAATGTCGGCCGAGGACTGCAATTGGTGCCCGACTAAACTTAGTGAAAATATATGGGAGTCCAGAGAGGCCACATAAAGCTTATTCTCGATCATAACCCCATCTAAAAACACGTTAAAATTGTGCAGCAGCAGGATTCCAGTCAAACCAGTGAGTTTGGCAGTTTTGAGACATCATCTTTTATTGAAAAAAAAACTTTTTCATTTTGCCGACGCGCATGGCTACGGCGACGCGCGCGCATACCAGAAACCGGAGACTTATTTTTTTGGGCCTAAGGTCTATACAGTTCCTTTCAAAATTTAGAAAGTTGCCTCAGGGAGGGGGGAGCAGGGAGGGGACAAGTTTATGTTACTAAAAGATAATTCTTCTCATTGTGTGTGATCTCAGCGTACACGTTTGCCTCATTTGAATGTACATGTACGTCTTTTTACTTTTTATGTGGAATATTATTAATTTTGGGCAGGTAACATGAACCAGTGTCTGACGGAAGCTTGGCTACCACGTTCACAATCATCATGCACAGCAGTTTTTCTTATCCTGTCGCGGCTCTTCCAATCGTAGCGTTTCCCGCGGCGCCGTGAACCCCCCTTTGATCCCGTCCCAGCCGTCCTTGATCTCCAGGTCGCCGTTTTTCAGTTTGACGTAAATCTCCTTGGCCATGACGGAGAAGGCCGCCTCCACGTTGATGCAGGCCTTGGCCGAGGTCTCGATGAACTTCATGTTGTAGGCCTGGGCGAATTTCTCCCCCTCCTCTTTGTACACTTCCCTCTTGTCCTCCAAGTCCGACTTGTGGCCGATCACCATGTACGTGGTGCTGCACGGATTGGTGACGTTTTCCTTGGCTTCCAGTAACCACTCTTGGAGATTCTCAAAGCTCCGTCGATTGGAAATATCATACACTAATAACACACCCACAGAGTTCCGGTAATAGGAAGTTGTTATTGATCTGAAAAGTAATTGTTAAAAAAGGGGGAAAAAACACAATAAATGGACAATAAGTTTATACAGTAAAATTGCATCACATTTCACAAACGCCATTTTCCTTCCATTTTTTCTCATCTTTTATGTTTGTTAAAATTAGATGACCCAACATTTTTATTACCCTAAGCCCGGTTCATACTTCACGCGAAAGCAAGTTGCGAAGCAAAATTCATGTCGTCAACAATGGTGGACGCACTTCAAATGTTATGTTGACGTCAAGAATTTTGCTTTGCTTTCATTTTCTGATGAAGTATGAACCGGGCTTAAAGTAAAAAAAGAGATTGTTTTCTCAAAGGTATTTTTTTCTTCATGTTTGTTAATGTTAACTACACAAACAGCCTACCACAGCAATTTGTTCCTAAAATTTACACTTGTCAGCAACTTGTTAATCTTAGATCTGACTTTGATGATAATTATAAATTAATGTAAAAGACAAAACCAAAAAGTATTTGAAATGGCCAACATTTGACAAGTGACCAGGCATTAAAAAAAGGAATGAAAATGGGATTGTCACATGTCAGATTGTAAAATCTGCGTACCTGAATCGTTCCTGCCCAGCCGTATCCCACAGCTGTAACTTGACCCTCCTCCCCGGCGCAACCTCGATCAGCCTGGCGAAGAAATCCACCCCAACCGTCGGGTCTGAAACCTCCACGAATTTCCCGTCACAGAACCGGCGGAGCAACGAGGACTTGCCCACCGTCGAGTCGCCCACCAGAATCATGCGAAATTGGTACTCCCAAATCACCTCGGGTGGCAAGCCCGACAGTTCCTCAGCAGCAGCAGACATCATTAACTGTTCATGGTTTAGATTTTCGATAACTCTTGAAGAAAAAGACCACTTTTTAGAGAAAATTTTATCGTCCAATATCACTGAGGTTCAGTCTCATGATCGGTGATTTAAAAATGGCTACAATTTACTTCCGCTAGGTCAGCAGCATCGTGAATATTTAGTATTGCTTTTCTATGTATCACAAGCACTGATTGGTTTGTAAATGGCACGGGGAAGGGATTTGGCCAATCAAGGACTGTGTACATAAATTGAAGGCGATACGTTTCACAACACCGCAAACATCATCATGGACGGCGCACGTGGGGAATCGTCGGGCAATCTTTGCTCGAAAATTGTCGCCCAACTGAAGGTGTTTGTGAGCAGTATTTTCACCATGTAAGTTCGACTTGTTTCTTTATTTCTTACTTTAGTAAATGGTGAGGATGGATTACACGTTTAAACCACAACGATGTTGAATAAAAATTAAAAGGAGAGGCCGCGGCGCGCGCTTTAACGATGGCGCAGTATGAACAACGTACGACAGCCAACGAGCACGGGAGCATGCAGAGTGACCCGCACGGTACGACCTGACAACCGGCCGGCCAGCCGTGCCGTCTGGACGTCGCGTCAGGCAGTCACAGTCATGCATTCTTCAATTTAAAAAAATGTATTTTATCACAAACGTGACGCCTATTTAAATTAAAACCACATAATAAACAAAACGAACAAATATTGAAATAGGCCTTTATCTGTTCCTTGCTCTATGGTTAAAACGAATGTCGGACACTTCGCCCCATTTCCACGTCGCCCCATGTCACTTCGCCCCTAACCACTTCGCCCCATCCCCACTTCGCCCCATCCCCACTTCGCCCCATTTCCACTTCGCCCCATCCCCACTTCGCCCCATCCCCACTTCGCCCCATCCCCACTTCGCCCTATTGGCTTAAAAAACAATTCCAACAGATTCACTAATTGCTAACAAGAATTAGCCCACCAAATGAACAATTCATAACCAACCTCTCAAGCTATCACTCTCCCCTAGCCCTACCGAGAAAAAAAGCTTGAAGTAAAAGATCCAACTTTGTTCCCAACCCGGCTATACCAACCCGTCTCCCACTTATCTGAGAACGAAAATACCTTTGACATCCTAATTTCACTCTTGGAGGAACCAATCTCATCTAAATGAAGTTGTAAGTGTCACATATCAGACAATTTTTGACGGAACATTTTCCTCAAGGCAGTGAGTTCCTTTTAACTCACTGACCCATACCTACGGATTCTGTTGAATCCGGCGCCGGCTGATGAGTCCCCGAAGGGACAAATGTGCATTCCGCTATTACCCTCGGGTAAAACCTAACCCACCCCACTGCTGCCTGGGTAAACTTGGCTACGGTCAAAACTTCCATTGATTTCTCCTTCTTATTTTTACCGATTTTTTGAGACCCGGCCTTTCATGTGTCTCAATTGAAGAACATAAACCACACAATGTCACACCATCGAATAACTCAATGTGTTGTTCTTACGCAAATTTTTTTATTCACAAGCCAATAGGAGAGGCGTCTCTGAATGGGATAGAGCCATCATTTCTCTCATCTGTGTCTCTAGCACCTCATCAGAGAGTTTGTATTTTTCCTGAGGTTTTAGATTTGGGAGCATTTATTATCTAGGGTCTTTGGCAGTTTATTATGTCTGCACCCCTAGCCTTCACCTTTTTCATACTGGGGCGAAGTGGGGATGGGGCGAAGTGGGGATGGGGCGAAGCGGGGATGGGGCGAAGCGGGGATGGGGCGAAGCGGGGATGGGGCGATGTGGGAATGGGGCGAAGTGGGGATGGGGCGAAGTGGTTAGGGGCGAAGTGACATGGGGCGACGTGGAAATGGGGCGAAGCGTCCGACACCCCGAAAACTAGACCCGTGAACGTGGACGTTGTGACCTTACCATTTAGTCGATTAATGAGATTTGATTTTTGTTCGGGGATATGGGCTTTCAAAGTTTCATTTAGAAAAATCAAGTATAATGAGCAGTACTTTCACGGTTACTAATATGCGCCATCTTGCTGATGGGGCAAATTTACATGTGTTGCTGTGTACACATCGTCAAGGCCAAGTCATCATGCATTCATTCCAAGATGCACCGGCATCAGACAATGCCTGTTCTTTTTTGCCCCATGAACTGTTCATCAAGATGGCGCATATTGTGGAATTGTGCATTGTCTGTGGCGAGTCTCTCATTTCTGCACACCTTTGCATCTGTAAATGTTTGTACCAGTTGTTACAACTTGATTAGATAACTTGGAAACTATTGAATTTAAGATTAACACATGTACAAGCACGTACAAGTTTATGACTGAACTTTAGTACCAGATAATGTTTTTCTTTTTTTACTAGTAAGTAGTATTGCTGTCATAAACGTTCAGTTAAGCATGCCATATGTTTGAACTTTGATCTTGCTCCCTCAATTATATAATTAATATTGGGTGCAGTGCTTTTTACCTCTGCATTCTGGGCATATGTTTTTGAGAATTTACTATGGCGTTATCTCTATGGTACAGAATATTTAAAGGATTGTGTTTCATTTCATTGTTGGATTAATATTGTACAAACAGAATACTTGTATCTTGTAGATGGAGTTGTGCATCCCTAAGCTTGGAATTCACTGCACTAGAATTGTTTGCATATTTTAGGAAACTGGGGGAATTAAATTAATTCAGATCAAATTTTAGACCCTAACAGACGAACAACAAGGTCTTTTTAAAGATAAGTGTAAGAACAGAATACATGTACCTGTAGCCCTCCCTCTATGGCTGGCAATTTCAACAAGGCCAGCCCAGCAGTCGAAACCAGTCAAGTGACTGGTTTTAACTGTTGAGTGCTCCCTGCCTTCATAAAGCAGGAATGACTGGCTGTGATTGTTATGAAACCTGAAATAGCTATGCTTTGACTGAAGGAGATTGATAAGCCAGCTGTGCCTACCAGTCACCTGCTTTTGTCTGTTGATGGAGTTTGACTGTCACAGTGCCTACAAGAAATATGATCTGACTGTTGGTGACTAGCCTGTGTAAAAGGCATGGCAGAGGAACCTTGTTGTTGTTTCCTGTTGGAATGAGCAAGGTTTACACTTTGAAGATCCAAGAGGTAACAGAAATTTGTGCTACAAAACAAAAGTTGAATTTACCTCTGTCCCCCCCCACCTTCCCTACCCTGACAGAAACTTCCTGAAGGTTTTCCTGGGCGGTCAGGTCCTGTCTCTCCTCATCTGTGGTACGGCCATCACCAGCCAGCTCCTGCACGATCGCTACGCCGTCAGCGCTCCCACGGCCCAATCCTTCCTCAACTACCTGCTCCTGGCCATAGTCTACTGCATCGCCTTGTGCTGCCGGAAGGACCGACAGGACAACTTCTACCATGTGTTCCTGTCGCGCTGGTGGCAGTACATTCTTGTGGCGTTGGTGGACGTAGAGGCCAACTATCTCGTAGTCAAGGCGTATCAGTTTACCACACTGACAAGTGTCCAGGTGTGTATTTTTTTTGTAAATGGGGAGTGGGAAAGGTTTAAATCCTAACTCTAATACCATTTTTGCTTGTGGCCTTTCTGACTTTTCTAAAATCCTCCCCTGTTTGGGGAAGTGATGGGATCATTTTTACTCATTCCAACTATTAAAAGTTCAATGTAAAGTAACAATGGCTTGGCTCTACATTCCAGAACCCTGCAAAATCTTTCAAACCTGGTGGATTTAGGAGGATCTGGGAAGGTTAGGGTCAGTGTGCTAGTCTCATTGAAGTATTGACAAATTCCTCTACTTGTACTCCTCTGAGATTGTTTGCCAGGATGTCTGTGCCTGCTAGCACAGAAAATAGCTTGCTTCAGCGAGGAATACCGGTAGTTGGCTTCAGGAACCCTGTTCCAGGAAAGCTTTCAGATGCTTTCATGTCTATTACACTAATGTTATTAATACTGATCCAGCATTTGATTTCAAAACATCAAATAATTATCAATGTCAGTGTTGTGGATTCTACGGTATTGCGATGAAGCACTATTCAAATCTTTAGTGTTTTGTAAAGCTACATGTATTTGCAGGCCAAAAACAGTGGAACATGTTACCAATGTGAATTTCTTCATTTGATCGCAGAGGAGAAGTTAATTTTGTATTATTTTTTTTTTTTACAGCTGTTGGACTGTATTACCATTCCAGTGGTGTTGATACTGTCTTTTGTCATTCTGAGGGTCTCGTTTCGCATCAACCACATCGTGGGCGTAATGATCTGCATCATTGGTGTACCTCTGATGATCTGGGCTGACAGCATCCTGGGCAAGAGTGATACAGAAGGTAAATCACTGAAAGCAGTTAATCTTGGTGAAGTGATCGATGGGGTTTTGCTACCTTGGGGAAACAAATGTCACCAGAGGCAAAAATCCCACAAATTGCATCTCAAATCTTCCAATTCGATTTAAACCGGCCAGCTGACCCGGCAAGCTTGGGTGGCTTGTGCGTACATCTCTCGGCTCTCACCAAGGTGACCACGGTTCGAATCCTGGCCGCGGATCACATGTGAGTAGAGTTGTGCATTGGTTCTCTCCTGTGCTATGAGGGTTTTTCTCTGGGCCCTCCGGTTTTCTTCCCTCCGGAAAAATCAAACACTTTCGATCTCAGGCTGTGCTCCGTCGTCATGTATAAAAAAATGGGTCGATGAGGCTGGCAGCCATAGGCGCCTTTACATACCAGCGGCCCGACCACGTTGTAGCCATGTCCTTCGCAATTCAACATACCAGCTGCGAGTAAGGATGATAAGCCTCCCAAATTATTATGTAGTTGATTGGTAAGGAAATATGCACTGTGCCAGTCTTATTAGATGGAAACAGTGCTCAATACGTCAACGAAAGGCAAAAACTGATATTGAAACCGTCTACCGAACTGCATTTCCTGCACAGCTTATTTGACATCTGACCCCGTCTCCTGCCCAGATGCAGATACACCCAGAAGGTTCTAGGGGAATGTATTATGCCTCATTGGAACCTCCAAATAGATGTAAATCAGCCAGCTGACCCTGGCAAGCACGGTGGTCAATTAGTAAGAACATCTGCACTGACAATACAGTGCTAAATACGTCCGTGAAAGGCAAAATGTGATATTAAAGTCGGCTACCCATCTACATTCTCTGCACAGTTACATCTGACTCCTTCTCTTGCCAACCTACAGATAAACCGCAGAAGGTTCTAGGGGATGCCTTATGTCTCATCGGAGCTAGCTTGTATGGTATCTCTAATGTCGCTGAAGAGTACGTCGTGAGACGGTTCACCAGGGTGGAATTCCTTGGAATGGTGGGCCTGTTTGGGACGTTCATCAGTGGCACGCAGCTGTAAGTATGAATCATTTAACCCTAACCATCCCAAATCCTCCAAAATCCTTTTTGCAAATTGGAGGAATTTGCAGGATTGCAGGGACCTTCATTAGTGGCACACCGCTGTAAGTATGAATCATTTAAAGAGGCCTTTCTGCTCCCAACACAACAGAAATGCACATCACCCTGATGTCCATGCAATAGTCCATAAGTCACCCTGATGCACTATTCCATTAAAAGTCATCGAGCGCTGTTTTGCTGCTCTCTCAAAATAAAACTAGCTAGCTGACCCATGCAAGCTCGGCAATTGAGTGGTAAGATGTCTGCACTCGGAGGTTGTGGGTTCAGTGCCCATCTGAGCGAAGTTGTGAGAAATTTTTATTTCTCACAAGCTCTTTGACAACGACTGAGCAAACAAATTTGTTTGAAGGGCAAAACAACATGAAAGTGGTGTTGGTAACAAATGCGGACCACCAGAAACCGAGGATACGCCTTTGGCACCTCGTATTGAAGGCTTGAAGCCTCCGCCCGTCCTTTGTTCTCCAAAACAAACATTGAAATGTTTTGGAAGGTACAGTAGAACAAGGGATAAAATCTAATTTTGACCTCTGTTTCTCCTCCTGCCCTTCAAGACTGATCCTAGAGAGAGCTGAACTCACCTCCATCACCTGGACCTACGAGGTCGTCCTCCTCTTCCTTGCCTTCGCCATCTGCCTCTTCTGTCTCTACTCGCTCTTCCCCCTAGTCATCAAGTGGAGCAGCGCCCTCGTGGTCAACCTATCCATCCTGACGGCCGACTTCTACTCGCTCATTGTCAGCATCTTTGTCTTCCAGTATGCGGTGAGTTGCATTCAAATTGATTATGTCTCAGTCTCTGGACTATTTAAAGCACAGGATGTCCACACAGTCAAGTTTTACTATACTCTCGAGGACAATGCTTTGTGTTTCCCTTTTTCCCTACAATATAACACTCTCTCATGGACTAAGAACACGCACTCACGATCAAGGACTGTTTTCAACAAAAGACGAACGCTCGAGGACAACAAAGAATCTGTTGTTCTCTCTTTGTCTGTCTGTCTGTCCCCTGAGTGTATGTAGCAGTGTTGGAGCAAAGGCTTTGACCCTCAAGGCCAAGGCCAAGGCTTTGACCCTTAAGGTCAAGGCCAAGGCCAAGGCTTTGACACTCAAGCCTCGAGGCCAAGGCCAAGGCTTAACCCTCAAGGCCAAGGCCAAGGCCAAGGCCCTGTTTTATGAAATGACCACTGATATAGAACTAATTATTGTTGATGTACCCTAACGTGGCGCAGCCCCTAACGTGGCGCACTTTTATGTTTCGCCTATAGCGCCTAGCTAGAGCAAAAGTTTTAACTGAAATTTCACAGAAAGTGAAATTTCATCAAGTTCTTAACACTCCCGTTCATAAATTGCGAGTTTATTTACCCGTTACAAAGTTAAAAGAAAAAATTATTTTGGCGTGATTTTCCGATTTTATTTTCAAGTGCAAAGTGAACCCTTTGAAAATGCCCTGAAAAATAAGAAAATAATTTTCTGACAAACATCTGGCTGGGTTTGTAAGTAAATATAATAATGATTTATCAGAATTCATCAAGTTTACAGAAATTCTTTATGTTAATTTGGAATTTTCTGAGATTTATTCAAGTGCACCAGGTTAGGGAACACTCCGCCAATTTGTGCCCAATTTCCGGACGCGACCGTTTTTGCATTTCGGATTATATTTTATGAAACCGAAATTGTTCACAGAGGTTAAATAGCAAGCATTAAAAAGGTAAAAGTACCAGCATTTCACTGCATGAATTTGAGGTTTATCAACGAAGAGGTTTGGCAACACTACACGAGGAAAGTTGGGTAAGCTTCGAAGTGCGCCACGTTAGGGAACACGACTATATAGTCACATGAGTGACACATCATCACACAAGGGCGGATCCAGAACACAATTTTGGGGGGGGGGGGCAAAGAAATGTTGGTCCCCCCTAAAAAAGTGGGTCAAAAATTTATGGCTTGGGCTTCGGGCCCGCTTAAGGGCCCCGAAAAAAGTTCAGGTCTTTAATATGGTTTAACTAAACAAAATAATGATTTACTTCTATATTGACACACAATTCTCCCAAGTGTAACAAAAGGGGGATCCAAGAAACTGATTTAGGAAATTAGGAAATTTTTATTTGCTGGCCCAACATGGTCAGAAATATCAGCATTATCTAAAACAGATACATGCAAATCTTTAGCACTTATCAGGGAGACATATACAACCAATCAGATCTATTCCATAATTGTATGCAATTAAAGTGATCATCTCATTAGCCCCACAAGTGTACGGAATATTTTTGCAGCAAATCTACTACAATGGTAACAAAATGTGATGCTACAAAAAGTTGAAGTGTGCCCAACACACAAATCTATAGGGTGCTTCCCTCCTCCATGGTAATACGATTAAAATGGTAACAGCAAAATTTCGAACAGATTTATCTGGAAAATGCAAAAATCTATGGGCCTTGAAGAGCCTTGACTCAAAATTGCAAGGCCCTGAACCCTCGAGGCCAAGGCCAAGGCCCTAAAATCCAGCCTTAAGGCAGCCTTAAGGCCAAGGCCCAGCATCAAGGCACTACATCACTGGTATGTAGTACATGTACACGCACCCTGTAAGAGTCGTGGTAGAGAAAATTGTATGTCTATCACAAGTCAACTTGCTAGCTAATCAAATTGCATGTAAAACAAGGTTAGTCATAAGTCAAACAGTTCAATCACAAGTCAATCACAAGTCAATCACAAGTCAATCAAACGTAAATCACAAATTAACCATAGCCAATCGCAAGGTCGCATGTAACAGGAGATGAACAATGACGGTTTATTTGATAAGGCTGTTGACCTGAGAGTGAATGATTGTGATAGACTTGTAATAACTTAAGATGAACATGAGATGACTATTCCTAAAACAATGGATTACTGCCAAAACAAGTATTTTATAAGTTTTCTAATTTTTTGGGGGGAAATTTACCCCTTTTGTGGATTTTTAAGGGTCTCATACAGTGAGTTGATACATGTATATCAGATCAAAATGGTGTTTGCTAGATCGTTCGAATGTCATGGTAAATTGTATTAATTCTTTCATATAAGGCGCTTAAGATGTTCTCAATGAGTACGGAAAATTATGGTAGATCTCCCAAATCTGTTTTGTTTAACAGTTCAACGGCCTGTACGTGGGATCCTTCATCGTCATTGTGCTTGGCATCGTAGTGTACGGCATTCTCCCACCCAGGGAATCCCAACACAACTTGTTCCGGCACTGCAGTTGCCTCAATAGCTACAGCCTGTTCCACAACGACTACGGCACGAACTCAGAAAACGAGAATCCGGACTTGACGGTGACCTCGGGGGACGGGGAGCTGACCGAGGAAGAGAGGGACAAGTGGCACCGGGCGGCCAATGAGTCATTGAACGAAAGAAACTGTGAATCACAGGCTTGATGTGATTGGCTGGCTAGAATGTCTCAGATGCAACATGCTGCGTGATTGGCCAATACAGTAGAGATCTTTTTGGATGGCTATGTGAAATCTTTTGTGGAGTAAGGCACTCTATGCTTGGCCCATTATTTGTTGTTGTTTGTTATTTAGCATATAGTTATCGTTATTTATAGAAACCAAAAAAGCATATATTCATGAAAATGTTCACGAATATCGGGTTCCTTTTTTTGTGAAGTTCTGCATGTAGTTCTTTCAAAATCTAGGATATGAAAGCCCAATTCATAAGCTTTCTTTTAGTACAAGAATCATTCCAATCACTCATGTACTTTTCAGGTTACAGAATTTTAAACACAACCACTGTTTTAAAGTTCTGTCCATGACTCCACGTATCACAAACCTGGTGTGTGATCTTTCAGCAAAACGAAAACAATTCACACAAATCCCTTTGTTATTTGTTTTCGATTTGCTGAACTTTACCACTTAACTTTTTTGTGATCTGTGGACAGAAGTTAAAAACGGTGTTTGTGTTTAAAATTTTGCAACTTGAAAAGTTCATGAGTGACTTGAATGATTCTTGAAATAAAGAAAGCTTATGAATTGGGCTTTCATATCCTAGATTTTGAAAGTGCTACACACAGAACTTCATTTAAAAACATGGTCCCGACATTTGGGTTTCGGTTTTTTTTACTCACCCTGTATTATCCTCATTCATAAATATCTTTTTGATTAAAAAAAAACCCAGAAGAGTTTTGTGCTACCATGTTACTCTGTGTTGGGGACTTTTCTATGGTGTGCGCGTCGCGTGCGTGCGAACACCTCTCCTTATTTGGAGATCATATCAGTGGGTCTCAAGCCGGTGGAGCCCGCGGCGCGTACTGCAACATGTAGAGTGGGTACTCTCGACGGGTTTTAAACATTGCTGACCGGTGTTTTACCGGCGGTGTAAAACCACCCACGTAACAGGCTCTCAACCAATAGGAATGGGTAAACAATAAACTGTTTCGGTTATTTATGAATAGTCTTTAAATGGCCACAGGACTTCAAGTGTATTTGCAGTTGGAAATTTACGTGCCAGACTACTAAGAAAATTTACCCCTTAAGGAATAATTTTGTTCCCATGCTGAGATGCGAATCTAAATTTGGTGCTGCTTGGGCCTGCGTTTCAAATTGGGTACCAAATCAGGGGTTCCCTTTGCTTTAGTCAGGCAGATTGGTGCACAAAATGATGGAATTGTTCATTTGATGATAAAAACATGAAATTTGGCACACAGAGTATATAATGGGAAAGATATTTGGCTATAGGGCTATCGCAGATTTGTCATTTGAAAAAAAAAAATCATAGGGTAACATGCAATGTCCGTCATTTGGAAAATTTGGAAAATTGCTTGTTATCCTATAATATATTTTTTTTCAAAGGACAAATCACATGAATTTCCGAGGAAATATTTATTGAGTTTCACTGTTTTCTTAAAAAGTATAGTATTCGCTGAGTATAAACTTTATATTACACAAGTTCTGTTATTCCTGCATTTTTAAAAAAAAAAAATCATGAAATGCGAGTGATTTAGACTTGTAAATTATCAGGGACAAGGAGGTGCTTTATAAGCAAAACTTTTTTTATGTGAATCGTGTGGGCAAAAAGTGAAAATAGGTTTTGGTAAAAAAAAAAGAAGAGCGAAACAACAGAGTCCTTTTGTAAATTATAAATACCAGTTCATGATTATGCAAACGAAAATGCAATTTTTTTAATGAGTCAATTGATAACTTTAAAGACTAATCTTAAAAGGAATCCTTTTCTTCTGTGTTGTCTTGAGGTAATGCAAGTTAATTTTGTGAAAAAATTGTACTTTGTGAAATAGAATTCTTAGTTCAATATTTCGTTATCTAAGTGCTTTGGAAACAAAGGTACAATACATTGTCAATAATGTATACACTTGGTGTTTACACCTGTATTTAACCCAGTGTTGTATAACGTTTACTCTTTTTTTTCTTCATCTGATCTATAAGTGGTAAGCATTTGACATTTTCTTCTTGTGTTTGATGAGTCTGTTGAGATAAAAATGCCAAAAGTACCCACAGGTAATAGCACTTCTTCGGGAAAGGTTGGGAAATATGCTAGGGGGATTATGATATGAACCTCAAACTTTGAAGCTGAAATGCGAATGTGAGAAAAAATTTAGAGTTTGCTTTTTTGGAACAATGGAGTGTAAGAAATGCTGTTAACATTTTTTCACTTAAAAGTTGGCATTTGTGCTAAGCCCCCCCCCCCACCCACCCACCCACTACTAACCTTTTTCCTTAGTCTATAGGCCTGTAAATAGAAATTGTCAGCTTTGTTTTTCATTTCGATTTTGAAAAAATATATACAACGATAAACCCAAAGTTGTTGAAACCGTTAAAAAATATACCATTATTTTGATATGCACGAAGAGACTGTGAATCTTGCGTCTGCATGGCACTTGGTTTTGAGAAAAATCTGACATGTCACTAAAGTTAGTTAGCGCCCTCTTGCGACTGATTTAGAACGATGGCACTCGTGGTCACTACGTCCATAGCTAAAGCAAGGGACTAGCACATTGTTTTCAGTCTTCGCCTTTTGGTCACAAAAGTGTACGAAAAGGAACACTGGGTTTTTTAAGTTATCGGGCGCTTTTACGAACATTTTAGTGAGATACTGCCTGTTTTAAAAATTGTATGTGGCGACAAGATTGAAGTGTTTTAGCGGTATACATGTACGTGGTGCACCTGGCGTGTTAACTTTGAAATGAAGGTTTCTTTTCACGAATTATGGTTCAAATTCTGCCAGAACTTTTCGTTTAAATTTTGATTATTAAATAAATAATACTTTCTAACATCTTAAGCACTGATTTGCCTGTACGCTTTTGCCATTTGATTCGGCTCTAATCTGACTTTGTGTGTGATGAAAAACAAACTTTGACTCAATGGGCCAGATTTTCAAGGATGCCTATACCTGAAGATTTCAGCCTGATTCTTCCCCGGCTCGACACAGGCTCATCGGTCGATAAATTGCCATCCCCAAACCATTCAGGGTTTCTTGGCAGGACAGTTGGAGACGCTAAGCCGCACCCCTATTTAAAACCTCCCCCTCATCTTACTGAATAACGTTCGATCGAGCCTTTAGCGCAAGGACTTTGTATTTACTTTGAAAATGACAAAATACAATTGTATGCCCCATAAGTCGACCGAAAGTAACTCGGTAAGACATCATCAGTGTGTCCTGGCAACTGACCCCTCTCATTCAAACCCCTAATCTTTTCATAGAAGGACCCCTCGGGCGTCGGCACCAGCCTCATTATTGAAATGGCGAGTAGCTTTGTGTTCTGAAGAAAAGGGGTAGATGATGTTTTGAGATGCAAGCCTTATTTTATCCCTTGGTGGTTGTTTTCTTGCCACTAATGTTGGAGAGCTGAGATTCTTTTTGAAAGACGCCAAGCTGACTTTTATAAAATTCTGACTAAAAACGCTGAGTAATTAGCCTCAATTATTAACATTGAAGCGTCAACCAAAAAACATTCATTTGTACCCTATTCCTCCTGCCTCCAAAGCAGTTCCTTGAATAAGCTGTCGAGATATAAAGTTAAGCAATTCATTGTCGTACATAATGATGCATTTTAGGAATGTGAATTTACTCTCTTAAACAAATGTTTTTGCTAAACGTATTGAAGGGACAGAAAGCCTCGAATATTAAGCTCTCAAAAGAGTATTTTCCGGAGATAACAATTGAGCTATTAAAAGAGTAATTGAATAAAATAAATATATATCTGCACGTTCGAGATGAAGAAAAACAATGTTGCTGGGATGGGAGGGGGTTGAAGCCAGATTTTAACAATAAACTCAACGATTCTTTCAGTTTCACTTTTACGCTTGCTTTGATTTGAAAATTTTAGCCCTCTCACTTTTGGGCTAGCGTGTACGATTATACACAAAAAGGGATATATAACGTTTCATGAAATAGAAATAAACCAATGAGAACACTTTAAATAGTTTTAACTGAAATTGTAAATTAGAATGTACATATTGGAGATAGTGGTGACAGAAAAATATGATAGCCATCATGAAGAATTATAATTATGGGAAATATCTTCCAGACAAAAATATTATATTCCCCTAGTATAATAATGGTATAGTCTGCTAAATCCGCACGTCGGCGCATATTTTGGGCCAGAGCCCTAGCCTTTGATATGGCAAATTGCATAGAAGTGTACGTAATCCTTGGGCTCGTCTTGGGCGCCTGCGCCTATTGGCTACGGATGGAGCTCACGGACCGTACGTACCACGCGAACGCGTACTACTGCATGCATGCACTGTGTGTGTGGCAACTATAGCATTATCATTACGTACGTGATCGCGTTGTGGCATGCAGAAAGCCGATTCCAGAAATAACTTCGCAGCTACAAAGTTTTGACTGAAAAAAAACTTGCTGCAGCCAAAAATGTCCGTTGTGGTGCCGAACGACAGGGGCGACGGTTTGTCAGTTGTGCCTCCAGGAACGAACAGTATGTCACTGCCAGTGCCCATATCCATACCACCGCCGAACTCTCTAGTCAACTCGGTGGTACCGAGCAACGCGGCGTTGACCGGTGGTGTGTTTCTCCCGGGCCCGATGCCAGTACCACTCCCCGTACACACACCGCCGATGAAAATCATGGCGGACCACCACACCACAGAGAAACAACACCCACCGATCCCCAACAACACAGACTACCTAGCACAGCTTTTAAACGACAAGAAATCCCTGGTTTTGGTACCTAACATGTTTATCCACGTGGAAAGAATTATCGATGAAGGTAAGTCGGCGTTTTTTCGCTCGTAAAATTCTGAAGTTTAGTTGTGAAAGTTAACTTGTAACTTGTAATCTTCCCTTGCGCCCTTCACAAGTGAAACGTGCAGTCCCGACTCGCGGGTCGCCATGATCGATTGTCTTTTTCTTGTTGTCAGCTTTTTAAATGACATGAATGTTTCTACTCTTTATTCTGTCACAAACTTGGGTCACTTTTTATTCACATGAGGTTTTTAAACCGACTTCTGCATACGATTTTCTTGAGAAAACTAGTGGCTTAATCAACATGCAAGGATTTGTTCAGGATTATTTTGTGTTCATTTTGTGACTGTTGAGAGCGCTGGTCGCCGCTGGACTTTCCAGGAAGGTGCTTTACAATGCACATGTGTATGTGTGCATGGGGATAGGAATGTGGGTGATTCATGCATTTTCTTCAAGGGAGTTTGGTGTGGTTTTGTAGTACATGTATGGAATTTGTGGACATTATTTTTGGAAAATGTGGGAAAGAATAAGTTTAGTTGGAAATGGTTTAGCCTTGTGAATTTTCAATTTTGTTTTGCCTGTTCTTAAAATAGGCATTGAACATGGTAAGGGGAAAATGAAGTTTACTATTTATTGATTACTAGTCAAGACAGTGTCAGTGAAGACACTGTTTTTTTTTTTAATTTACCGGTATTTTTAATGCTAAATTAGTGAATGAATTTTAAGTCTTTCACAATGCTACACTTTAAGTTTAAGTTAAACTGCAGGTTTTAGGATATTATAACTTATAAGACCACATCCGTACTTGTTGCCATTGGAAATAACCAGAAATATATATTATTACATTGTGTAATTTGTGTTTATTCACTGAAAAAAAAAAAGATGACCAAAGAGTGCTCGGGCTTGTCGGGCGGTTTCGGGGTATACAATGAGTAAAAGGAGGGGCGGTTTCAGGCACTGCTGCATGGAGCTATGGCTGCAGTGAGTAAAAGGCGGGGCAGTATCGGGCGCTACAGTGAAAAAGGAATTTTTGAGGAAAACAAAAATCGAAATTCAAAATCCATTCGAATTACAATGATGAACATGTACATGTATAATTAAGCATGATGAATATCTTTTTTTATTTAAGCCATACTCACCCTGCAGTAAATATCCATATCATGTCTTTTTTTTAAAATCACAGTACATATAGGCCTATACTTTCACTTTTGATGATATAAAATGCATAACCCATGATTGTGTTTGTTTGCTTTCCGGGCATGCTTTGTAGGTTATATTTGAACAGGAACTACACATCCCTGAACTCGGTCCATTTCCTGAACACAAGTGCTCTGACAGTCATTGTACAGTTGAACTTACTGTTTTGTGCCACTTCCTTTCTGTACATGTACTTCAGATGTGATTTTCCCAAACTATATATAACTGTACACGTAGACATTGTAGAGTATGTAACACAGAAACAGGGCTCCATGATTGATGGTGTTTGCAGCTTTATTTTAATTCCCTTGCTAGGATTATGTGCTTCACCAGTCTCATTTGAACTCTGGATTATTCCTCAGTGAGCAGATTTAAAAAAAAAATTCAATGGAGATCAACAAACCTATGGAAGGCAAAAAAGTACTGGCATGGCAAATTATTTACTTTAATGCTCGGCTGAGGATTTTTTTTTATATACAAGCGTGACCTTTTGAATGACTTCATTTTATTAGCGATCAGTGACATTTCACTGTCTGAAAAGAAACTGCAGAGTTCAAACAGACTTGAATAATATCCTCGTTCATTGTTCGGAACGATAATGGTTGTGATAAATTAGATTAGCGAAGGTGAAAGGCTTGGACCACAGAGAACACAGGACTGTCAAGGTCAGGATTATTGTTGATAATTTTTTTAGCGTGTTTGATTTGAATTGCTGGTGTGGTTGTGTCAATAGATGAAAAAAAACATTGTGCGTGTTGAAAAATTCCATTTGTCCCAATGCATTATGCACACATTAAGTGTTGGCAAACATAGAGTGAGTGCATGGAAGAAAGTGGGGAGTGATGGTATTTAATGCAACGTACATGTAACTTAATTGGTAACGAGTGCTTGTTTGATGTTAGTTCACTGTCGCAACCTCTCTTGCATACATGTAAATGTACACATGTACTGTGAAACCTGAGGCTTGTGCATGGGCTTACACCGCAGTAGGGTGACACTCTGCAGTTTGAACGTGCATGGATGATTCATGGGGTTGTACCTAAATCAGGTCAGAAATTACCTTCAACAAAGCATGCTAAGTTACATGTATTTTGAGCTTGTATTGCTTGAAGTGTACCACAGATAATTCTGACCGGATATTAGTTTGCATATAGCCTGAGTCATTGCTTTTAAAAAGTTAAAACAAGCAGCAGAAAATATGTGCAAAATTAAAAGACTTTGGATTAAGTTCTTAAAAATCTAGGTATAGGCCTAAGCTTTAGATTTTTGTGGCTAAAATCACTGAGTTCCTCGGCTTATCTAAAGTCTTTCAAGAAAACGTTTAAATTATGAGGAGCCTTTTATTAAAACCCTCCATGGGAATCATTGCGTCTTAGGTAGGCTAGTGGTCTTATTCACTTCAAAGCATGGTACTTGTAGTTTCAACCTTATCAGCTTATTGAAAAAAAAACAACCTTATAAATTGTATGCAAAGCGGTGGGGGATTTACCTTTTCTGCCAGATACAATGTGCACAACAGGATTGAAGCTTTCCATAAAAAAAGGCATTTAAGTTGTTTTGAAGAAACCACTTTACCATACTACCTGTGCATAAAGCCTTGGTTAAGGGGTCATGATAATTCTAAAATAAATGGGGCTAAGGCCTTTGCTATAAACCTATCTCAACAGTATATCAATTTAATTCTTTCCACAATGTATTCTGTAATATACCGGTACAATGCTTTCTAGGTTTACTTGACCTGCGAGGTCAGAAATGAAATGAAAAGTTGTTATCTCAACTGGAACATGATAATATATTCCCAAGTTTCATTTCTCTGGAGATCTGTATTAACCATCACAGGGTTTGCAGTTCTGCCTCATTGCTTGCTAGAGTACACACTGCACGTTATCGTACAATATTAACAGCTATATCGAAGACTCTTGTGAATTCGCCTGGCACAGATAACGCATGGGTTATTTTAATTAGCCTTACATGATCATCTTCTCGAATAATAAAAAATGGTTCCCTGTCAGTCTTGTAATTTGCTAGTATTACTGCTCCCATAAAATATGATTGCTGTCAGAAATATGGTGGTACTGGTACAAGTCAATTGTCCTTGGCTCCTGACTTCTGTAGGTTTCAATTAATCCCGTTGAGAATTTGAGATCAGTCTGGTGCCATTAAATTTCCCAGTAGTGGATATTCCTGGTAGTGGGAAGTACCGGTAAGTTATGCTGGTTGAATTGTACTACAGCTCTATTTATCTTCTGGTTGCAGACTTGTAAATGAAGTGCCAACAGTGAAATACATGTACCCTCAGCAGTGTCATCTTACGACGTTTTTTCCTTGGGGGATAATTGGATGACTTTAGGGTGATGTTTTGATCCAAATGATCTCCCTTCTATAAAAATTGAGCCACGTTTCAGTCCAGTTTCACCAAAGTTTCTCAGAAATGCAATCTCACAGTCATGTTCACAGCTGAGACCCTTCATCTTTTACAAACCCTCAAGTGCATTGGCCGCCAAACGCTCTATTAGGATATAATTTGAGGGAGAGCAAATCGTGATTTGGTCAGCATCTGGGCAATTTGTGCTCTGTTCCCTGCCTGCGACAGTGCAAGAAGTGTTGCCAGAACTGAGGAACCTATCACAACGTACACCCATGGTACACCCTACCCATCCAGGGAAAATTCTTAGCACATAGAATTCCATAGACATGTGTTGTCATGCTTAGATATCGATGATTGATTGGGCTGGGCTGGAACTTCGTGATAGGCTGACCTAATGTCAGGAATTTGCTGACGAAGATCCAGACTGGGAAAGGTCAGCTGAAATGCTGACCCCTGACCTCAATTTTAAGTGTTGACCCATGTACATGTACACGTATACAGTTCTAAGCAAGTCTCCTGGACCCGTCCCAAGACTCCCATATGGTGTCTTGTCACTCTCTTGCAATATCAGCACTGTTTATTGCCAGCTGACTGGTGAAATGGTGTGTTTATTTTGACAGGAAAATGGTGTAAACATTTAAAACTGGTTTTTAGTTGGCAGGGGCAATTTCTATGCATGTACCGGTAGGGAAGAAGGCAGCTTATAATGAATACAACTACAAGACCAATGCACTGTGGTGGAATCATGAATTTATAAACATTAGAAGTTGACCATGTGGCCCATATGGTAATATGTGTATTCCAAACATAAACCATGCATAAACATACTATACATACATGTATGGTACATTTAGAGGTTTTTAGGTTGAACATGTTTTTTCTTTCCCCACTGTCATTTGTGATAGTACAATCTGGCAAATTCCCAGGTTTGTGATCAAATGTTGCCCTGGGAGACATCCTTGATATGTTTTATTGAGTCAAAAGAAATGAGGTTCACACGTAGATCCTTCAAAGTTTTCTTCAATCTGTCAATTTCGATTTGGATTTAGGGCTGTGCACAAAAACTGCCTACAACGCTTCACTGGCCAATGTGCAAAAAGCTTTTAACTACAATAAACAAAGGAGGAAATGTCGCTCCGAGCATAACTTAGCGTCTGAAAGTAACATTTTACTGTACAAATTACAATGTCACTATGGTTCACAATTTCATACAAAATATTTCATCCCTCAATCATGCAGTTACCCACGGCACGCCTGTGAATGAAATGTCCAATTCGGCTGTACGCCCACTCTGTTCATCAGGCACAACTCAAGATTTCTTTTTCAGAGAGTGAAATCTTTGGCAGAATGAAAAGCTTTTCTACACTCTTCAAAATCGTAACAAATGGCAATAACAAAAGTTCCTGAAGCAGTGATTTGCCTTTTGTCAAGTTTTTAAAATGACATGGTCTTTACTATAT